CGGGCGGTACGCGCCGGCGCTCGCTGAGGGGGCTTCCCCCTGTCTCGTCTCCTTCGGAGCTGCGACTCGGAAATGCGGTGGAAGGAGCGAGGGCAGCCCGCTAGCTGCAGCTTGTAGTCGGGACCTGCCGAATGTAAACCTGCTGTGCCTTCGGGGGGACACGCCACACTTGCTCAGCGCTGCAGTTGCCTTAAAGAGCTTGCCAGGATGGTATTGGGAGAATCGGTCTAAAACGTTTGTTTTCCGACCGTCTGCTCGAAGAATGCGTTGGCTTGTCTGCTAGAAAGTGATGTTTTCCTGTGGGACTTGTGGAGGCACCACGGACAAGCCTGGTACAAGAGGAGGATAAGCTGCCTTTAGGATCAAGGTTATTTATAGCTGCTACCAAAGAAAGTAAAGGGCTTGTTTATTATTCTTACTATTCTGGATTTAACTTATTTCTGCCCTCCTCCCACCCCGCCCCTCCAAGTTTTCTCCGTGCCTTGGTCTGGACCGTACACAGCCACTGTGGATTCTGTCTTTAAGCTGCCACACCATGTTTATTTATAAAGGAGATGAGATTCTGCAAACCAGTTAAATGGATTACAGTTAAGCTGTCACCTACAGAAGATAACGTGCTGCCTTCTGTAAAGCTTGATTGTTTGGAAGGCTTACTCGGGAGATTTCAGATGCAGATTCTGACCTGGAAAAATAAATGAAGCCTTCCATGGAGTGTTTGAAATATTTGAGCCACTGCTGGCTTTTGCTTTACTTGGTTTTGCTGTGACATTGGAAGATTTCTGTTAGTTTCCTACTGAAGCACTTTATATTTTAGAGGGAGGGGGGAAAAAACCTCACATCCAGGTAAAGTTGCATTTAAACTGATGCACTGATTATGAATGACCTTAGCCACCTCGTAAGTTACGATGTATATTTTGTATCTGTGCATCTTATGCTAAGGGCAAGTTTACTATAATTCTTCAGTGCTAGTGTTTTTTAAAATGTTTCCCCTGCATCCATGAAAACAGAGGGATAGTGGTGTACTTGTGTGAACACTTTCAGGATGGGGAAGCCGCTTAGCAGGCCAGACTGTCTACGTCAGAATCCTCCATGTGTTGGCAAAGGGGAAGAAGATGAAGATCTAAATATCGAGGACTGCTACGTACCCCAGAGGTCCATCTATGACACTGTGCGGCTGAATGAACAGATTGATTCCGGCTCCAAGGGCAGCCTCTCCTCAAGGCATTTCACGGACCGGACCTTACCCTACAGTCACAGAACACTGGACATCAGCACTTTGTGCTCCAATGGTGCCCTTACTTCTTCCAGTGTTTTTGAGCTCCGAAGCCGTGAAACTAACAAGTTAGATGAAAAAATGATCTTTGATGCTCTCAAACTGAACAGTGATATAATTCGGACAGCTGGATTACCAAAAGCAAAGCCTCACACAGAAAAGAAGGAGCATAGGCGATCGTGGAGAATGTTTGTTCCGCCCAACTTTTCGGATTACACGAATGAAAGTGAATGCTCCTTTAACGAAACTGCTGATACGTTAGATACAGCTGGACTGGGCAAATGCACATGGAGTATGAATTCTCTTACCTCGGAAGAGGATGATTCTGGTTTATGCAGCCCTCCAACAGAAAGGGAAGAAAAACAAGATATATTGTTAGCAGGGGAGCAAACTCAAATACGAAGTTCATCTTCTGCAGAAGATATCCATGCAGTAGGTCAGTTCAGATCGTGTTTCCCAGCAATTTGCCAAGAGCAGCAAATGGCACTGCTTGCAAGCAACAGTGTCCCTGTCAAAGAAAGCTGCAGACTGGCTTTGCATGACATTATACCCTCTGGAAAAGCAAAACAAAGCAATGCGCAGACATGTGAGAGTGATCAGGAAGAGTTGGGGGGGAAATACTCTCACTTACAAGGTTTCAAAGAAAAAACTCGGTCGTATGAAGATTCTCTTCAAGGTGATGGAAGAGGTATTTCCATTAACAAAAATGAAGTGGAAAATGCATATGAAGTTCATGAAAAAATTAAAACACGAGTCACAACAGTAAAGGAGGATTATGTGGATGACACACCTCCTCACATAGATGTTTATTATGCGAATGTTGCTGTAAATACTAGTGACTTGGATTTAGCAAAATACGAGATTTTATCTGATACAGAGGAATCCAGTATAGCACGTACAGGCTCAAATGAAACGGCATTTTCTGTTCAACAGCTTGAATTGGATAGTACTGTAAACTGCCCAAAAGCTTTCCCAGGAAGAAGTAAAGGCAATATCTGGACTACTGGCATCCAAGAAACCTTGGATACAGTCTGTAATGGCCTATTGCCTAACAAGGTAATTAAAAAAAAAAAAATCCATAGATTTGTGAAATAGTCATAATACAGCTTTAAAGATACTTGTTTAAAGCTTTCTTTAAGTTTTGTTGTTGCAAAAAATGTCATTTTTAAAATTCATTTGGCAGATTCCGTAATCAATGTCATTTGTGTAACGCACATGGGATGTCCAAAATAGGTGAGAGGGTCAGTACAGAAAATGAGTTGGGGACAAATTCTGAGGGATGATTACTTACAGCTGTGTGGGGCAGGGTTATTTATTGCCCAGCTGGTGCTTGTTGCTCTGGCGTGGAGTGCCTACTCTGTGTACCCACATTGGCACTCGGTGGTTGCACAGAGGGTGGTTGCTCAGAGGGTGGTTACAGGCGATGCTGTTCCAGGGCAGCAACAGCCCATCTGTTCAGCCTGAGCAGCCTTGCTCATCAAGGTATGAGCAACAGTATCAGATGGTTGTGGTTTCTAAAGCAGGCAGATTAAAGGCTCACCGCCTCTTCTGAAAACCGCCTTTTGCGTTTGCATGCCAGAAAGCAGATCTGACGTTACGGTTAAGTATTTTACAAGCACAGGATCTTGCAGTGCTTTGTGAGTGGTGGATGAGGTAAGAGAGTAAGAAGCGAAGCTTTGTCATAAGGAAAGGGTGTTTGTCGGATCTGTAATTTTTTTTCTTCCCACTCTGGTTGAAATCTGAGATACTGCAAGCTTTGTTGCTAAGTTGTTCTGGTAAACTTTGGCCTCAGCAATAATTGTAATTTATTTTAAGATTCTCTCTGCAAAGAACGCATGCGTTTTTAAAGGGCAGATTATGGAGATCAGACCTCTTTGTGGTAGGATGTTGCTCTCAAAAGATGAGGCTTTATGGCACGTAAAAGAAGAATTTGTTACTGATTCTGTGTGGAAATATTATTCTGCATCCTCCCTACCCTACAGTCAAGAAAAACACAAACGTTTTCCTTTTTCTGGGAGCAGCCAGCTGGTTGCATTCTCTCAGTTTTCATGTAACCACAGTCATACATTTTTCAGGTTTTTTTGTCTGTAGAAACAAAATTCTCTTAGGAGTGTTTAGTTTATTTTACTCCTCATGTTTAGTGTAGTTGCTCTAGTTTCTAGATTGACTGGTCAAGCTGGTGGAAGCATGCTCAGACGCCTGAGGTCTGCTGCTTTAAAAGCAATGACTTGCCACAGGGTTTGGTGCAAAAGAGGAGAGTCACTGGTATGTTCAAAGTGATCCTTGCTTTTCAGGATGCTGAGAAAGGTTGCTTTGAACGTGCTGAGTGTACACCAGAACTGTTCATGAATGCTGCTATAGAAATAGAAGGATTTAGGGTCAAAAGTTGAGCATTCTTTAGCATTGTTTATTCATTGTTTATTTTTCACTGGCCTGTGTAATTAATTCAAGGGCTTCAGGCCATTTTCTGATCTCATTGACACTGGTGCAGCCTAATGCAGCTGAATACAAATGGAGATTTACATTGCTGTTGCTAATGGTAATAATCTGGCTCTGAAAAAGTTTAAATACCTGAAAGAGTAAAATAAAGCAAACAGAAGACTGCTCAAACTGCTGTTTGGGTACGGCCAAAGCCTTGGCAATTTGCGAGGATATCTCTTTGAATGAAAACCGATTCTCCTGGGTGTTCACTGGGATACTGTTTCAGCAGCATCTGTAGTGCCTCCTCCTCGCTTGTTACCATTATATTGTCCTAAAAACTACCTTAAAATATTTATTTCTCCCTTCGCTGCTTCTTTAACTTAAAACTTTTGCTTTTGTCCTAATTTGGATAAAAAATGCCTAGTTGTCTCTCTTGGTGTGTGTTTGTTTATTTATTTGAAGACAACTTAATAATTCTTCTGTGCCATTTTTGGTAGATTTTGTAGGTAGATAATTAAACAGATAGATGAGTTTCTCCAGTCTTGAATTTTTTCCTCAGTTAGTTGTTCTTTCTTTTTTCTTTTTTTTTTCATTCCCAAAACTTTTCCCCCTTCTCTCTCTCTCTGCCCCCCGCCCCCCGTCTAAAACTACTCATGGAAATGTACATAATTTTCCCTCTATGGTGTATTGCATTCACTCTGTTTAGATTGAGTCTACTCTGTTTAGATTTATTAATTTTTTTTAGGAAGGTGCTGATGAGGAATGGTTTCCTTTCTTCTAGACACCAATTTTCAGCATTTTTTTTTGTTGCATACTGTGATGTAAACACCAGACGCATTTTGTGTCAGAAGATTCAGTGTTCCATGTGTCTTGGATTTCAACTGCAGGTGTTCCAGAAAGAAGAAATTGAACCCCTGCAAGTAAAACAACAGGAAGTTAATTGGTTGGGCCAAGGCCTTATTCAAAGTGCTGCTAAAAGTACCAACACAGAAAACCTTGAACACGACCTTGAGGATGTCAACACCCGATGGAAGACTCTTAATAAGAAGGTTATTATTCTGTATACTATTCTGTTTTTGTTGTATTCTACTTTTTGATTATTTGCTTGCTGAGGTCTTTCAAAATACAGGATATTAAATATTCACTAAGAATATGAATTATATTACTTTACACAATCACTTTGTTCGTAATTCTGAGGTTAAGATTTATATCACTAGTAGCCAGAGGTATTACTATGACTTGTAAGGTTTTGACAAACTTTCTGTAGGTCTGTGCTGGATTTTTATTCAGGAAAGACTCCTCTAGGACTGTGTGTTCATGCTTAAGCAGAGCAGGGAAGTTTGATAACCCAATCAAAGAAATTGGGGTTGACACATTCATGGGAAAGGTAGCTATGTCATTTGTAGCCAGCCACTTTCAAGTAGTTCTTCCTCAGTCTTTGTTCACATGTTTTTTCACTCTGTTGTATTCGTTGACATACACTGTTGTACCTCCACAATGCACAGAGCAGTGATACAGCCCAGCTTTGTGTGACTAGTGGCACATTTCTTTTATAGCACCTTAAGGATTGTATTGCTTGAGACATCGGAAGGTACCACTGCTTTGGAAAACGGGCTGTAGGTGTTTTTCTTTGCTTTTAAAGAGTCCTTTCCAGCAGTAGTTGCTGTTGGAAAATGGAAAGGGTGGGAAGTGGAAAAGACACTGATGCAGCAGAACCACAGACACTTGTGGTTCACCCATTTGCCTTCTCCTTTCCTATTTCTTTGTCCCTTTGAAGGGATTATTGCCCCTTACAAATAAATGCTACTTTGGGTTCCTGGCTCAGTCTTTCTATAAGGAAAATAAAAACCTGTCAGTGTACTTTATAATACTGCAGCTGTATAAAACAGGAGTATCTCTCGTAAGGAACTACTAGAGCAGTCTGATTTACTGGGAGTCAGCCTCTTCTTTTCATTGGATGTCTGTAGCCCCAAGAGATTAATGCTAAATTGTGCCATAGTGCTGTTACGAATAGCTATGAAAATGAGAGTATTTGTTAGTGATATTGCCAGATGTTCTACAGATTTTGCCTACTTATTTCACAGAAATAAAAAGAAAAGGTGAGTACAGTCCGATCTTCTACTTTTTTTCAGGTTGCCCAGCGTGCTGCGCAGTTGCAGGAAGCCCTCCTTCACTGTGGGAGATTTCAGGATGCCCTTGAATCTCTGCTTAGCTGGCTCATTGATACAGAAGACCTCGTGGCTAATCAGAAACCACCATCTGCTGAATTCAAAGTTGTGAAGGCCCAAATACAAGAACAGAAAGTAAGTGCAATGCATTCAGGATATCTTTCCTTCCACTGGATCAATGAGAATAAATGCCTAGTCTTTGGCAAGGCGTAAAAACTGTTCAAGTGTATTATATTACATTGAAGTGTGCTAAGGTGTTTAAAGTAGCCATCTGTTTGATACTCAAGAATCTGTCCGGGGTTGGGAGAAGTGCTCATAAACATAAAATCCAATTTGGCCGTTTGGAAAGCAGGAAATAAAAACTAGTAAATTTTCTTTGTAATAATTCCAAGGTAATATTGCAGATTATCGACTTGAATACTTAGCTCTTGATCCTGATAGTGATCTGATCATTGTTGGTAATCAGTTAGAATGCTGTTGGGAAATGACCTGTGCATGATGAAATGTAGAAGAAATGTTGTCAACTTTTGCAAATTTTTCATAGCGGTTATAGAAAAAAGAACCATAGTGTAGCTCATGAAACATACGGTCCATGCAGTTGGACTGTGTGGCCCACTGCCACCCAGAGATTTAATATAAAGTTATGGTCAATACAGGTTGTCATGTTGGGATATCTGCAGAGGCAACTAGAGAGTGGAGGAAGGGAGGATTTTAGGCAGAGGTGTGTTTTATTCTTCATGGAGAAGGTAATTTACTGGACTAGATCAGTGAACTCAGTTGTATCTCAAACAAGCAATGAGTCAATTATACAATAGTTTTTATATCTACTTTCCTATCTCTATATATATCGGAATTATCTTTGTGTTCCCCAATCTAGAAGGGGATGCATCTTTCTCAAAAATATTTCTATAAAATGTTTCAGATACTCTAGGTAGCTTGTTTCCCTCAGTGGTATTAAATAGAACTTTTTCCTCTATACATAAGCCCCTCTGGGGCCCCCAACACAAGAAGGATATAGACCTGTTGGAGTGGGTCCAGAGGAGGCCACAAAGATGATCCGAGGACTGGAGCTCCTCTCCTGTGCAGACAGGCTGAGAGAGTTGGGGTTGTTCAGCCTGGAGAAGAGAAGGCTCCGGGGAGACCTTAGAGTAGCCTTCCAGTACCTAAACAGGCCTACAAGAATGCTGGGAACGGACTTTTTACAAGGGCTTGGAGTGATAGGACAAGGGGCAATGGCTTTGAAGTGGAAAAGGGAAGCTTTAGATTAGATTCCAGGAAGAAATTCTTGACTGTGAGTGTGGTGAGGCAGTGGCACAGGTTGCCCAGAGAAGTTGCAGATGCCCCATCCCTGGAAGTGTTCAAGGCCAGGTTGGATGTGGCTGTGAGCAACCTGGTCTGGTGGAAGGTGTCCCTGCCCATGGCAGGGGGGGTGGGGCAAGGTGGTCTTTAAGGTCCCTTCCAACCAAACCATTCTATGATTCTGTGGTCAGTGTTCAGCCTGCCACACATCTTTACCCCATAGAAACCAAGGAGGTTGGTTGGGCTTGGTCAAACTTTGCTGATCATAGCAAAACAATTGAGAAACTAAAATGAGCATGTGTTGGAGGGGAGGGACAGGTTGGTGTGTGGTGTGTGTCTCTCTCTTTTGGGTTAGCATTATTCACACTTTCATCACAATATAGGTGTTGCTTTTTCTTTTTTTGCTTTAGCGGATTTTCAAGAAGTCTAGCTCTTTCTGGTTTTTAGACCTGTGTTACTACAATGTTTCTTGATAACCTGGTGCCTGACTGCTTTCTCTGTAGCTTCTCCAGAGGTTGCTGGATGATCGCAAGCCTACCGTTGAGGTAATCAAGCGTGAAGGGGAGAAAATTGCAGAGTCAGCAGAACCTGCTGATAGAGTGAAAATCTTGAAACAGTTGAGTTTCCTGGATAGTCGATGGGATGCGTTGCTCAGTAAAGCTGAAACGAGGTATTTTAAATTCTTTCATAGATTTGAAAAATGTAGACATAGCATGTGATGGATGATTAGAAGCAGCATGTGGAACTCTATAGTGTGAAATCTTGCAAGTACTATCATTCTTGTTGTTACATTACATTATTGTGTCTTGATGTTGATACAATAGGTCCTCTAGAAGGAAAAGTGGAGAGAAATGACTTTAACAGACCAAAAGCTTTTAAAAAAAGTTTAGCCTCAGATGCTACAATCTGCTAGGATTAACTGCATATGTATCTTCTGAATATTTTATCTCTGTTAGTTCATGAGGATGCAAGTTTCTTGATGCAAGAACCTGTTTTGCGTAGAATCAAGTGCAAATTTTACGCTTTAATAACAATGTACCCTTGGAACTTCAAAATCCTGACATGCTGCTTCAAAGAGGGGGCACTCAACTCTTCTTCCCTTTTTCTGTTTTCTGTCATCCGTGTAATTAGTTTCTACAACTTAGAGATCCTCATACTGCCAGTTGCTGATGTACTTACGCAAGGTGCTGAGCTCCCTTAGTTCTCAAGAAGAAAAAGGACCATCAAAGTGTGTAGATATATTCTAGCACGACAGAAAACTCTGTCTGTTAAAGACATTACAGTCCAGTTCAAGTTCCAATTAAAAAAAAAAAAAATACACACAGTATCTGTGTATACACACACCTGGATATATGAGTTGTTGTCAATATATAAAATACCAGGGAAGTTATGAACTGTAAATTGGCTTTGAAGAAATCTGTGTTGAAAGGATGGGGATTTGAAAAAGGACAGCCTTGTTCAGAGTAGAGAGAAGAGTGTGCATGAGAGGTGGCCTGAGAAAGGCCTTGGAAAGTTGAAGAAAAGGAATTTAAGTGAACAGTGGAGCTTTACAGTGAAGAACAAATGGATGTGTTGGGATTTCAGCACTTAGAGTAGCATTGAACTCACCTCTGTTGTCTCATCCTACTTCTAGTAACCTCTCTTTAGTTCCCTTACTTTGAACCTCTTCTGTTACCTCATGCTAATATGATTATTTAATTAGTAGAGTCAACCACTAAGAGACCATTATTTCCTCCTTTTTTTTTTTTTTTTTTAATTGAAGGAATCTGATTCATTAGCTAGGGTAAATGTTAATGTCATGTTTAATTTAATATTATTCTCCCAGACTGGTGATACTTAATTAAAAAGCAAATTGCAGTTTTTTTCCAAGCCATCTATTAGCTGCAATTTGTCTCCATTTTTCTTTGGCTTGTCTCTAGAAGTGAAGAGGAGATTTAAGGACGGTTTTGAAAACTATGTAGAGTACTTCACTGAGTGTTCTGTGGCTAAGTGTATTAAGTGTAGCTTGTTATAAGCCTCGGGAAGCACGTATAAACATAGCTTTTATCTGGAATGAAATCCCTATTTGAAAGGCAATATTGTGATGTTTGTCACATAGTGCAAATCTCTCTTAAAACTCTGCTTGAATGAAATCTGTTCAGCAGTGGTTGTAGAGAAGACTCTTCCTGTAATCAGGAGCCTTCTCTGAAATGTAATGATCTGAAACACTAATGTTTTAGATACTGCTTTTTTATTTTGGAGGTCAAATCTCTGTGCTTTATTAACATTGTCTCGCTAACTTCATGGAGAGCCTGTATTCAGAACAAGAGATGCAAAAGTAGAGCCAAATAATTCTGTTCACATCATTGGACAAATGTTTAAAGATGTTTTATAATGCTGAGGAAGCATGACAATATGTTCTGGTTCAGTAAAACCTTTGCCTAACTTTAAAACATGTATAATAGTCAAGGGAACTTTATGCTTAAAGACAGCTAGAAACTTGCTAACTGTCCTAGTTGGGTATAAAACAATGTTTTGCTGAATTGAGTGCTATATTATTTTTAGCAAAAAGTATATGACTAAAGTGATACTCTTTTTATTTGCAAAACTTGCATATTAGCTAAGAGTTTCAGATGGCTTCGGAGGTGTGTTTGTTTTGTTTTGTTTTTTTTTAAATTTTGATCTTTACGTTGGTTTTCATTAAGTATCGTGGATGTATTTCTATTTCACTTGATGACTGGTTCCTACAATGAGGCAGATTTTATTTTTTTTTTTTGCAAAGGATTCAAGGGGACTTTTTGTTTTTCCCCCCAACTATTTCACGCTTACTTCATCACAGAAAATAACCTTTCTCTTGGCATCTTGATAGGAACCGTCAGTTGGAAGGCATCTCAGTGGTAGCGCAGCAGTTCCATGAAGCTCTGGAGCCGTTGGTGGAGTGGCTGACCACCACAGAGAAGAGGCTTGCAAATGCAGAACCCATCGGAACACAGACCTCCAAACTGCAGCAGCAAATTTCTCAGCATAAAGTAAGATATGGACCACACACTTGCTTGTGTCATTCTTTTTAGAAGCTTCTGTGAAGTACAACACAACTGGCAAAGCTGTTGCGGTGTACCTATGTTTTACTATACTGATTTATTTTTTTTCTGCAATTCCAAGTTTTATATATTTATGTTGGCAACGTGTCCTTTTTTGTTCAGTTTTTATTGAGTTCCACTTACTTTTCTTTTGTGTTTTTCTGATTTTCTTTTCCATTATTCTTCATTATTTAAAAAAAAATAGGCCCTAGAAGATGATGTCCTAGCTCACAATAAGAGTTTACATCAGGCCATTAGCACTGGTCAGTCTCTAAAGACTGTGAGCTCCAGGGAAGATAAAGATATGGTGCAGGAAAAGCTAGATTCTTCTCAGGCCCGATACATTGAGATTCAAGAGAAGAGCAACAGCAGGTCTGAACTTCTCCGGCAAGCTTACAGCAATGCTCAGATTTTTGGGGAGGACGAAGTTGAATTGATGAACTGGCTGAATGAAATCCATGATAAACTGAGCAAATTGTCAGTCCAAGATTGCAACACAGAATTGCTTGAGAAACAGCACTCTGAACTACTGGTATTTTGCTTTCTGTTCATATATTATTTAATTTATTTTTAAATTTGATTTATATTTCCATACTTCATTTATTTTTCATTAATATAGTTTATTTAAAATGGCAATGTGCTTATTCCAAATAAAAAGAGTATAATTCGTTATGTCTGTGCTAACACAATTGACCTTTTCACTTAGGGTCTTCAGGAAGAGATTCTTCTTAGAAAACAAAATGTTGATTTGGCTGTACAAAATGGATTAGAGCTTCTCAAGCAAACAACAGGTGAGAGCTTATATAAAACTATGCTTCATCAGGCTTTTTTTTTCCTACTTGTAAGTAGAATGCTTATAAGAAAATTAAAGTGGAACTTGTAAATATTAGTCCATATTTGCTGGTTAAAGCAGTTGTAGTTGTTTATTCTAATAAAGGTTTGAGGTCAAGGTAGGTTATGTTTTGGGGCCAATTTTACTATTAATCTAAGCGAGCAGAAGTCCTTTTTTGCCTGTAGAGAATTTTGCCCTTGAATCCTGTATTATTTTTGGTGGAAAATTATTTTTGTGAACCTGCATTCCATTCCTAATAGCAAGTTATGGGCATTACTCATAATGGAGAGCTGTTTGGCAGCGGACACAGTCAATTCCTGCAGGCATCCACAGATGAACGAGATATTAGACTACCTTTTACTGCAAGAGGAAAACTTCGTCCATTGGAGCTAATACTGTGGGAAGAGTTCCTTTCCAGTTGTACACAACCTGTCTGTTCTGTAGATCAACATCTGTCCAGATTTTCCAGTACTTCTAAAGTTCTTGAACTCTTTAAGGCACACATATGATTGGGAGCAGGGGGAGGTATCCTTTTCTGTTCCAAACTTGGACATTATGCATAGTCTGTAATGAAATCTGAATAAACATTGTTTTTATTTTAGCCTTTTGAGTTGTGTTTCAAATGGATAGTAATGAGGGTGTGTAGTGATGTCAAATATTACTGTAATTGAAAATCTGACTAGTATTTTGTTGATTTTTTTTTTTTCACATTTTCAATAACCCTTTTATAAAATTTTTTCTTTTTTGGGGGGCCTTTATAAGAAGTATTGTGAATTTAAGGGTGGATTTTTTTAAAGAATATTTGTGTTAAATATTGGATCTAAGTCCTTACTTTCTAATAGTTTAGTAAAGCAGAAAAAAAGACAGAAGGACAGATTCTAAGCTGAGGTAAACTTTGTAGCTCTGTGGACTTTAGTGATGGTAGGATAATCTGCAACAGTTGAGGATTGGCCTTGTCATCTTGTTTGGGTTATTTTACAAATTAAATACTGAGATTTCTGTAATAGGTAGAGTTTGGGATTTGGGGTTTGTTTTTTTTCTTTTAAATATATGTGATCACAGGAAGTAACATCCCTCTAATATTTTAGGTGATGAAGTTGTAATAATTCAAGATAAACTGGAAGGCATTAAAGCGAGATACAAAGACATTACAAAATTGAGTTCTGATGTATCCAAGACCCTAGAGCAGGCTCTCCAGCTTGCAGGTCAACTGCAGTCAACTCACGAGGAACTCTGCAAATGGCTTGATGAAGTGGAGGTGGAGTTACTCTCATATGAAACTCAAATACCAAAGGGTGAAGAATTAAGCCAAGTACAAGAAAGACAAAAAGTACGTTTTAGAACCTGTGAATTATTTATTGCTGTATGATTCACCTAGGTTTTGTGTTAACTTCTGTTTGGCATGAAGTTGTTTTGTGAATAACTAATTTTGGCATCAGATCATTTGACTAAAAGTAATAGTAGTTAGGAATCAAACTCACTTTCCAGAGTCATCTGTTATAGTCACATATGAAATTGGGCTGAAGTTTATTTTTATCGCAAGAGAAACACATCACTTCCTTTTTATTCCAGCAGCTACCTAATCCTAGGAAAACTCTTAAGTTGTCAAACAAAGTTATTTTGGTTCTTTAGTTGTGACATGGATAAAATCCTGTAAAGTACAAAAAGAGTCAGCATTTAAAATAGATATTACTAATCTTGTTTAACAATATTTAATTCAAAAGAAAAATTGTAGTATAAACTGGATGGTGTGGACAATGTTGAGGGGAGTAAGCTTTAAAACAAAAATCTTTCTATTAAATTTCTTACTTATATAGAAAGAAATGAAACAGTGGTGGGAGTTTCTGTACAGGTGAAAACTCATTCCTGAAGCACTGTGTGATGATTTGATTGGAATTTAATCCAGTCATTGCTCATTTAAGAAATCACTTGAATTCATCATATTTTGCTTTACTGTGTACCTGATTTCACTTGTAGGTGATTTAGTTCCTTATGGAGTTGAAGGTTGCAAAGCATATCCGTTAGTTTTATTTTCTTTGGTTGCTTCATTAAATAGTAACAACTCTTACAAAGTTACAAAGACTTTCAGACTATCATACTAACTGGAGAAATATATTTAAGATATAATCTTAATCTTCTATATTTAAGATATAGAAAATTCTGTTCAAGAGTCACCCACTTCTCTGTCAAACAGCTTACAGTATGAAAAAGCTAATATGACTGAGCTGAAAATAAGTGCACTAATTTATCCCTTTGGTTTGTGTTGAAAACATTTCAATTCTCAACCCATGGAGTAGTTGAAAGAGTAGAAAAACATGTGCAAGCTGTGTGTGTTCAGCTCATATGCTGGCATGTTTACTTTAAATGGCTTTTTTCAGGAGTTGAAAAAAGAAGCAAAGAACAACAAAGGCTTACTGGACACTCTGAATGAAATTGGCAGTGCCTTCCTGGAGCTTGTGCCGTGGAGGGCCAGAGAGGGGCTTGACAAGATGATAACGGAGGACAACGAACGTTTCAGATTAGTGAGTGACATGATCTCCCAGAAGGTGGATGAGATTGATGCTGCCATCCTGAGATCCCAGCAGGTACTGAAAACTGTTCTTTGCGCTGTAACAGTCTCTGTCTGTGTGTACCTGAACAAAAGATGTCCTATAGTAATGTTTCCAGAAGTTTGTTGTGCTTGAGCAGCAAAAGGCCTGTTTGAATGAAATGGGAGTCCACTGTTAAGATATGAATGCCAGAACTCAGCTAATCTGTATGCTGTTGTGGTTGTCTGCCTTTTTGTTGACACAAACATCAGTCTTGTAGCTGAAATTGCTGTAACTATCCTGTGGCTCCTTAAGGTGGGAGTTTGCTTAAGTAAGAACTTAATGGCCCATGTCTTTTATAGATCATGTTGTGTTAAGTAAAATATGGTCCAGATCCCCAGCCAATTTTACTGAATGCAACACTGAAATCACTAGGGTTGCCACACCTTTTAACATCAGTTGATTGTCTAGCTCCTCTGTACTTTCCACAGTTGAAAGCTGGATCATCTTGTGCAAGCTGTAGTGGAGGATTTAAATAACAATTGCTTTTATTCATATACACAATGCTTTTCTTCTTGGGGCTCAAAAATTAAGTTATTTAATATGTAGAGGTTTCTATACGTGCACAGAGGTATATATATGGGTGTGCTTTGAGAACTGGCACTCATAATTTCATCTCATGGAAACATAATTTTCCAGTGTCAGCCTACAGTTCAAGCATAAAAACTTTGGTGGAGGTTTCTGCTTCTGCTAATAATTCCTATAAACAGTTGTAACGGGACAAGGAGAAAGCATGTGTGGTATTTTCAAAGTTTGCTGAAAGCAGACTAAAACAGGCTGGTAGTAACTCAGATCTCCTTGTAACTGAGGTTAAAAATAACTTCGTGTTTCTTTTTAAGGGGTTTGCTATGAATATTATCTTGTCGCATTAACCAAATCCTCAAAAATTGAAGGGTGGTTTTTTTGTTGGATTTTTTTTTACCGAGTGATAAGATTGAGATAGGAGAGTATACATTGGTTCTCCTTCAACTTCTCTGAATTCTGTGAGTGTGTTGCATCCCCTAGCACAAGTTCAGCAGATTCAGGTCCAGGCATGAAAGGTCCAGAGCTGCAACTCCAATAGCTAATGTTGTCAGGGCACATTGCACCCTAGTCCTGCATACCCCTAGCTTCCACTTCAACCCAACTCGCATCACCACAATATACTCCTATACACTATATCCTATGATACATATTGAGTGGCTTAATATACTTCCAGTGAAGGAGAAACTACTTTCCATGTAGACAGAGAGAGGTCATACAAAATAAAAAATAGTTTTGCAGAATCTAGTGCTCTGTAAGCTTATCCTGTGGCAACTTGTTCAAGTGCATGTCCTATTAGTAAGTTTTGGGTGGAGGACAAAGCCACTAAGAACATGAGGGTTTAATGGGAATAGTGTGGGGTTCTTGCTAGATGTTACTGGGTCAAGGTGAGAAATGCAGTAAGCTGTATGAATGGATAAGTATATTGTTTCACGTTTAAACGGAAGCTGGAAGGCTTAATAGACTAATGCAATGTCCTGCTTTTTCACTACCTGAGCAAAATGCTCCCGGATAGATAGAATTATCCTAGAGATAAATTTCGCTACATGTTTTCATCTTCATTTCCCAATACTGAAGGCATTGGTCAGTGTCTTACCCTAGTGAAGGAGTGCTACGTAGAAACAGGTCATGTTCTATTTTTGGCTTTTTTGTTGTTCTTCACTCTAAAGCAGCCATAGATAGTGCTTTAGAAAGCATTCATGGAGCGAATCACAATGTCGTCATATTCAGAAGTCAATCATTCCTGGTTACAAGAAAAAGCACCACAATGAACTGTGCCTGGGTAAACTGGGTGGAGATGAAATAGATGATTTTATAGTGACTCAGGTGAAGTTCGGGGCTCATAAATAACTGTCATGCATAATGAGAAGAAAACACTTTAAATTTTGGATGCAGAGAGTACCAATTTTGTACTTTTTATTCCTTAATGTTATATTTGAACATCACAAATTGGAAATCCTGTAGCCTCAGCAAATGGAGTTTAGAGTCCTGTCCTTCCTTGATGCTGTGTAACCTAGAAGTTTCACTGCCATGCCTTGATTTTGCTATTTCCATTAAATATTTGCTCAGTATTACTAACATACCCATGGATATTTGGTATCAGGGGTATCAGGAAGTCACATTGCAGTCAATTTGTACATCTAATGCATTTGAAATAATTTCCTTCATTTGGATCATAAATAGATTGGCTTCTGAAGAGCTTGGCTGTGAACTGCAGTTTCTAAAGCCAGGATTTAACTGCCACTGGCGCATATGCTTTGTGCTAATATTTACATTACCAATTGTTTCAGAACTTACCTTTCTATTAGGAAGTCACAATATTTAGGACAAAAACGTACTTTCTGTTGCCTTAAATGAGAAATTACATATAGTGAAAAAGAATGTTTGTGCTCCCTTTCATGTAACAAATGGATTATAAAGCCTGAAAAAGATGGACTCATAAAGAATGAAATCTCAGAACTGTTCCTTTAGTTTTTGTGTAACTCATGATTAATCACTAAGACAAGACTGATTTAGCGGCTAAAGTGAACTCCAGCTACGGTACAGGAGCAGGGCTGTCATGATCTGCAGCCATGAAGGCACAGACCAGCAGATCTAAAAGACAAGAGAGACTGAGAGTCGTCAGAAGGAGACTTCTGAGGAAAGTGGGGGTATCAACAACACAAGTAGCAGGTTCTGACCTAAAACGTCCTGATAGACTTTCACAATAACTCAGAGCCATATTAGTATTCAGCTAATTGCACCAGGGGTCAGAGTTCAAAATAAATAAATACAATCTTAGTGATTTCTACAATGACCGTTTTGTGCATCTGATCATCCTAGGTAATATTTCTCTATGGCTTAAGCTCAAAGCTGCTCCTGTTGAGTACTGCAATGTGTGTGCTAAGGTACATGTGTATAAACTTGAGCTGAAGAGAGAATGTGTGATTTTAATTTTTCTTTTTTTAAAAATTTGGTCTTACTTTTCAGAAGAATTAGATCCCTACATACTCCTTTTCAGGATCTCATGCTCTCCTTCACAAATTAGTAAGAAACAGATCCTTTAAATCCTCTCATTGCTTTAGTGCTTTGAGGTAATTTCTGAAACATTTAAGTATTGACTGATGGTAGTCAGAAGTTAATCTTTTAGGAAGAGGACTGGCTGCACCCAAATGCCCCAAAGACTTTTCGCATTTAATCCAAGGTCTAGTTTTGCATGAACTCCTGTCTTCTCTGAATTCAGTGAGGTTTTTCCAGTGACTTAGTTGAACTGTGGTTGTTTTGCTTTTATAATTTAATACCAAAGCAGCTGTTAAGATTACAGGGATAACATCAAACAACTGTTTCTTAGGATAATTGTGACACTAGCAGTAATAATAAACATAGAGATGGAAAAGACACGTGAAAGTAGAATAAAATGAAAATAAACAGTCTAGTTAAAATTCTGAGATTATAACCCTTTTTATTTTCTTATGTCTGTTAGAGAGCTGTAGGCTTTGGAAAAATATATTTGCTTCTGTCTCTTTGTCACACTTACGAATTAAACTGCTTGTATTGCAGTCCCTCAGAACCATTTTGGGCTTTGTATTTCATTTATGTAAAAACCTCATATGCAAAGTGAGCTGCTATCTTTCTAACAATTAAGAAATATGCTTTTTAATCTTATTGAAAATTTTTGAAACAGTCATTCTAATATCATGTCTGTAGAACCACTGAACTAATTCACATCTCCCTCATTTAGTTTGATCAAGCAGCTGATGCTGAATTTGCCTGGATTGCAGAAACAGAAAAGAAACTGATGTCGCTGGGTGCTATTAGGCTTGAGCAAGACCAGACCACAGCTCAGCTACAAGTTCAAAAGGTAAAAGAAATGCATTTCCAACTGTCATGTTAATTACTAGCCGGCACACTCTCCATCTAGAAAATGTACTGGCATGATTTAATTTTCAATCTGTTGTAATGCACTTCAAAAATAGCTTTTGCTCCATGTACTCTTTTTTTTTTCTTTTCCCTGACCAATTTTTATTGTGTTTCAAGGCTTTTACCATGGAGATTTTGAGGCACAAAGATACTATAGATGAACTTATTAAATCTGGGGATAAGATTATGAACACATGCACCGAAGAAGAGAAACAGACCGTGAAGGTAAAGTTCCGTAAATTGCAGCTACAGTGGTAGATATGCAGACAATTAAAAAGCAGAAGGATTCCTACAGTATCTTTTTTGAAATACTAATGAAAAAGCTTTAATTAAAGCATTAATTGCAGCCACTTCTAGTCTGAGGATTGTAATACTAGAAGAAATGCTGTTGTGTATCACCTGCCTTCCTTCAGGATGTTCAAAGAGCAAACACTGTGTACTTGCTTTATTGTGTGACACTAATTTGGAGGCCTATTTATCATCTTCGTCCATGGTAAACTGTACTTTAACCAATGGACGACTGGAGTTGTGTGTGTGGAATCTGGCTGTTTTTCTTCCCCAGTTCTCTTGGGTCAGTGACACGCTGGGCGTGTGTTGTTTCTGTGCTGGATTCAATGGCTGTGCACCTTACCCTGAATCTTTACTTTCATTACTGTTGATTTCAGTGTAGATCTTACTTGCCAAGGTTATTCCATCCTGTTGACTAACACAGCCCGTGAAAGGCGTTCTTATGCCTTTGTTTGTTACACGCACACACAGAGCCTGATGTTGAGGCTGTATATATATATAGACAGATTTTTCGTGTTGGCATTTAAGAATGGGTTAGTTCTGGGGTAAGGGGTTTTTTTTGCTAAATTACAGTGAGGCTGAATATATTGTGTAAATTTAGCCCTTCCAATGACTACCCTCCTTGAACAACAGTGCTTCACTAATTATGCTCTGCTGCAGGATCTCTGAATAAATTTGATTTGCTCTTAAGTGAATTTAGAATAGATGAGATGTTCTGTCTATGAAACTGTAGTCATAAGGGAGAGCAGTTTTATGTGAATCTCTATTAAATATTTGTCTTTGTCAAAAATACTGTGTATCTGTGTCTTAGGCTATGTTTTGTCCTTTGGATAGCATCTCTATGCTTATTTTACATGCAAGACATAACAAATGAAAGGATAGCTTGTTCTGCCAAAAAAGATTCTTTGCTTTGCATTCAATGGCTTGCTTCTATATCTAGTTTTTCTAAGGCTAGCATTTATGTGCATTGTCACATATAGTATCTCATAAAAATGATGACATGGACAGTCTTCCACAGGCAAAATGTATAGCTAGTTGATACTTTCTTTTATTATCACATGCCCAAATACAGTAGATTTGTAATGTTTAAACCTTGTAGTTCTATCATATTATTAATGGTAACACATCCTCATTAATTAACGTGTGCTAACCTGAAAAATAATGTCTCGTGGTTTCTGTTGCAAGTCTGTAAGCTACAAGCACAACAGTATACCCTATTCTCTTGCCAGATTAAAAACAAACAAACAAACAAAACCCCAAAAAACCCAAATTTTTGTGTATTGTTCATGATACTTTGATTCAGAAATGCTGTGTAAAACTTTTCTGCCAAGTGTCATTGAAGATAAATGTCTTCAGTAAGGAAGCAGGGCTAAGATCTGCAGTCAAATCATTTGCAGCTTGACTGGAAGTCCTATGAATAAAATGTTATTTGTAAATACCAATATAATTAAATATGTTCTAATTACTTTGAAAGTACTCTGCTAAATTCCAGTCTCCCACAATATTTATTCTGTCCTCCTTAAAACACCTGATACTGCAGAAATGTTATCAAAACTAAAATATTGTTCACTGTGGTTTGGTGTTATAATTATAAAAGATTGTTTAGAAATTAAGGTAATAGATGTGGAAAAACATATGTTGCTATTTTTTATTAATATTATTTTACAGAAAAAAATGGAAAACCTCTTACAGAAATATGATGCGGTCTGTCAAATGAACTCTGAGAGAAACCTCCAGCTGGAACGGGCCCAGTCTCTGGTTAACCAGTTCTGGGAGACTTATGAAGAGCTTTGGCCATGGTTATCTGAAACAGAAATGATCATCGCTCAGCTTCCTGCGCCAGCCCTTGAATATGAAACTTTAAAGCAACAACAAGAAGAACATAGGGTAAGCATTTTGCCAATTTTGAAAAACAAGTGTCAAAAGCCAAGTAGTGTTCTGCTTAGAACAGTGAAGTACTCTGCTAAATGCTGAAAAGCCAGACAGTTACACTTCTGTTGAAAAAAGAACTATTTAAAATAATAATACTAAATAAATACCTTTTCAGTCATGCCCCTATGGTTTCCCAAACTGTGCAAGCAAACAAGAATCTCTGAGGAAGGGAGCAAACAATGTATAAGCATAAAAGAGGGCTAAAGGGGAAAAATTTGCCATTGTAGCAAGAGAACTGGGCACACAAAAGTTAATAGTTGAGAAGTACATTTAAAAGTACACTTTAATATCAGTATTAGAACAAGCCAAACCCATAAACAGAAAGAACAGACATGGGATAGTAAGAAACAAAAGAAGATAAAACATGACTACCTAAAGAACTGGAGTACCTGCTGTCAGCATGCTGAAAGTGAAGTGCTGCCTTTGTGTACAGTCGGTACACAAATATGCACATATGTTGATCTTATGTACATGTAAAAAGTTTGACTTTTGTTTTGTTGGTATCATTGGAACTGAACTTAGCTGAGCCAGGAAAATGGACAATTAGAGGGCCAAGAATTGATTGCTTGAGTTCCAGCCAATCCCATCATAATTTCTCATGTCAAGTATCTTTGTTATGTAATAATTAAAAGAAATAATTGTTTACCATAACATCACGTAATAGAGGCAACGATGTTGTAGACTGGCCACCATATGGGCTTTCTTACATGGAGGAATAATCAGGTGGGATAAAAATGCGTACATTTCATATATGGCTACTAGTATCACGTGGGATCAGATGTATCCCACTGAGGTTAAAAACCTGCATGTTTTGGCACATGCAAAGTCCGTACGGCTACTGGAGACTACCTGTCTCTCCCTGCTGAGCATAGAGTAACTAGTTGTTTTTTATTTTAGCTGCCTCAATTAAGTGACTCAAGTTAGGATGAACCCTGGCTTCAAAGTCTTGTTTACTTTGAGACCAGTTAATGAAGATGTGCCACTCTTAGTGTACTGGTAGACACTGGGTTTACTCATTTGTCTTCCTATTATGTCCACAACAAACAAACAAGCTCTCTTAAGACAAGCTATATAACATGAACTTTACAAACTATCTTGATTAGTCACCGTGAACCAAATCATGCTTGCTTTACTTACAGGATTGTTCCCCATCTACTTTAATCATTCTGCTTGCATGAGAGGCCCTTCAGATGAGCTTCTGGGTTTGCATTTTCCCTGGGCTATGCCTTTAGCTGAGATTTGTTTGTTAAGTAAAAGATTAATGCCAGGCAATTTTAACACGTAATGTGATCGGAGATACTTGTTTACTGGAATTGTTTACCCAATGGTAGATCGTGGAGAAGACCAAATCATTTATTGTTCTATTAAAAAAAAAAGAAGTTCCAAATGTGAATGAAAATCAGTTTTCTATATGCACTTACATTTCTGTTCTGATGGTTCTACTGATGACTGTCTTTGTTCCAAGTCACAGAATTCATGGCGTTGATTATGTGCGAATAACATGCCATCAGTTTGGTTTGAACTGAGCTGTGGGCAGAGTGCTATCATAAGGTTTGGACCCAGAAATGTGCACTCTTGTGGCCTTGTGTCAAATCATCTATTTGTGCACAAAAATAAAACACAAGATTATTTTCTAAAAACTTTTAAACTGTTCTTAGTTTTCCTCTTCTCTGCTGATCAACGTTATTTTTCTTGTTGCAAGGTATACAAACAAGAGTTACATTCTCAGTAAGTACCTAGAGTCAGGGGGGTTTGTATTTTCATTGCTGTTTTGTCATCAGGGGACTGCAGAGAGTCATGGTGACTGTCTTTTCAACCTCTCCTCTTCTGGGGAGGAGCAAGTAAGCAAGCCAGTGTCAGGATTTCTTTTTAAGGGAAGGACCTTAGTTGAAGAGAAGAGGATTTATTTACACTGAGACTGATATACGCTCTTTTCTGTGTCTTCATTAATTTAAACAAACTGAGCTGGGAGGAGCAGAGCATGTGCCTCTCATCTTCCTGCACAGGGACTATAGGATAGAAATGCTTGGAGTTCACATAACCAAGAGGGACAGTGGCTCACAAGACAGTGGGATTTTTCTGAAAAGGGAGGAATGAACTGAGAAAATAAATAAAACTGGAGGGAAGGATTGGACTACTCCCACAAAAAAACTTTTCCCTTTTGTCAGATCTATGGGTGCAAGTAAACAAAACCAAAATCATTGGGCAAGTTGGAAGACACCTTGTGACCTTTCACTTCCACAAGCCTCTGCATAGTCTTCTGCACAGTTTTGACTGACTTTGGGGGTGGATGATGAGAGGGAGTAGGCAACTGAGATCAAATTTACTTTAATTACTTGTTAAAATTTGTGTCAGGTAAGTAGTAACGCTGTTGTGAAGACAGAGAGGGGTCTTGTGGCCAGAGAGGAGACTACTAAACTAGGTTAATAAGTCTCTACTGATCAGTGTTCCTTGTCCTTTTGTCCGTTTCACTAATTTCTTTGACTCTTCCTTGTGCTAGTTTCTGCTTCTTAAATGAAGGATAATTTGAATTAATATTCTTGCAATGCCGATACCTCTTTCTGTGATGTTCTTCAATGGAAGGCTTTGCAGGAAGTGACAAATGTCAACATGGAAAGTATATACGTGGTGGTGTTACACACGTCTGGAATATTGTTGCATCTCTGTCATTATAGGTATTAAATATGATGGGGAGTGTCTGTTGCCAGCATCATATGCATAGTTAGCATCTTGTATTTTACCTGTAGCCTTATGTCCTACAAGAGCATTGCATGGACCTTTCCAGCGCGTCTCTAATTGTGATGTTTCATGCCTGGATAGCTCTCTGTTGGAATGGGAGCCATCACTGGCAGAGCAATCACTAGCTTTATTTGATATTATTTGTACTTTGCATTAGGACAAAGGGTATTTGTTTGGAATTTCTTGCCAGCTGGATGTGTTAGAAGTGTGGACAGCTGAAATGTGGTGATGCAAGCATAAGAAACTGATAAGTTGTTTCGTTTGTTATAGCAACTGCGTGAGCTGATCGCTGAGCACAAGCCTCACATAGATAAGATGAACAAAACTGGGCCTCAGTTGCTGGAGCTAAGCCCAGGAGAAGGTTTCTCTATCCAAGAGAAATATGTGGCAGCTGACACGCTTTACAGTAAAATTAAGGAAGATGTCAAAAAGCGAGCACTGGCACTGGATGAAGCCATTTCTCAGTGTACCCAGGTATCAGTTTAAGTTTAAAGTATAATTGGATTCATTCAAATGGAAAGATACACAGGCATCGTCATCTTACATGTATATATCAAGACTAAACTGCTGTTTTATCTTTATTTTTCAACCTAATGGCCCGTGAATGTTCATAACACTGATTATGGCATTGATTTTTCTATTTCCTGAGGGATTATAATTTCATATATTGGTAAGTATTATGACTGCTGCAGTCGAAAAATGTTATTGCTTCTTAATTTTGAAGTAAAAAAAGGAACATTTGGTCTAAAAATGTGGCATTTTATTTTCACTTTATTCTGTTTTTCTCTTGCTGGTCTGTTACTAGCTGATGCTTTGTTTGTATATGGATGTCACTGTTGATCAGTTAACTTGAGTATATCTCAAACTTGACAGCTTTAGTTACAGTCTGCTATCAATGGAACTAGAGGGTAGTTTGGCAGTGGTAATAGCATTTGATCTTTGTTGCAGACCCACAAGAATTTAACGTAACATATGCTTGAACTGTTATGTAAAACTATAGTGAGCAAAGTTAGACCTCACAAAATGTCTTCATAAGCATAAAATTCAGATCAAGTCCATAAAAGCTGCATGTTTTAGATTCATCAGCCTATGCACTGAATCTCGATAGAGTATCATTAGGTATCACATTCTAGATGCTTTTAAATATTGAGTTAATTGTCATTAGACCCAAACTGAAATTCTTTTACTCAACCCCAAATTCAGAAAAGAGCTCAGTAAAACTGTGTACATGAACCTGTACAAAAACCTGAATAAAAATACTTTGTTCTATACCGCTCTTTTTATAGAAAAGTCTCCTTTTTCTCTGTTCACTGGAAATTAAGTGCTATAGTCTGCTCAGGTCTAAAATACTAAGTAAACAAATACACCTTAAAGTTCTCATCAGGTCTACATTCTAAATATTTTTTGTCTTAGGTCATTGTACTTAATGTCATATTCCTACTCCCTGCAGACTGAATTTAAGAAGCTAAGGAGAAAAAAAGTGACATCAGATATCATCCTGCTTTTGAACTGGTTATAGACATTATATTATACTTTAAGTCATTCTAAACACCTTTCTTATTCACACCTCTGAAAGATGCCTGATTATTTAGATTCAGTGTTTGTCTTTATCATAAATGCTTAGTCCTCCCTCTATTTGGAGCTGCACATGTGAAAATCAAGATATTTACTTAACATCCATCATTCAAGTCCCTGCTTTGTGTGTGATAGACATGAACATGTTGTACTGGCTAAGTACATTCTTCGGTAACAGCTAGAATATAATCAGATGTTGAGAGAAAATACTTAATTTTTTATGCAATACTTTAAGGTTCATTTTCTATACGTAGGGGTATATGCAGATGGCAAAGCAAAACATTGTGACATACAGAATATAATTTTAGATAAACTCCTTTTTTTTAATTAAGATATGTAAATATATATTATCAGGGCTTTGTACTATGATGGCTATGTCAATATTTGTCTAGACAGTACTGGAAGAATAATTATTTAACTCTTCAGGTTTCAAATTACATTAAATTGCATTATGTATCAAAGGCAGGACATAACCTATGGAGCCAGAATGAGAGGTTGTAATGACTTGTGTTTTCTTCATTTCAAGTTCTAAAACACCTTGTCTCATTCATTGAAGTATAAGTACAAGGAGGCTCACTGAACACATTGACTATTTTAAAATGTAATATATATGTCCTAAAATTAGACCTGAACATTGCTGATTTAATTTCTTTTTTTATTGCTTTTGTAAGGTTTTGTTGCCACCATTAGTTTTTCAGAAGCCTTTAACATGGAAGGCTACTTATCTTTCATAACACATTTTGCTGGCTTGTATGATTTTCATACTTGTAACAAAAACACTGAGTCCATAACATTAGTCACGAGAGTCTGATCTGAAGTGGGTTGTATGGTGGGAAAAAGTAATTACATTTGTATTGCCTATATTCCTTTGAATAGAAAGGATGTAGCTATTTGTTGACATAAGGTGATCTTGTTTTTTGTTGTGCTCTTTCTAGCACCTTTCCCAAGTGTAGCCAAGGGTGCTTTTTGTAGATTCTGGAGGATCATTAAATGCACCCACAATTTATTAATTTCTGTAATTTGAAAAGGTCATGGTAGTGAGATATTTTTAGGAATCTCTGTGGATCCAAAAGCATATAGTAAAAGCTAACTTTGGAGCTGCACCAAAGGATGAACAATGTTAACGTGACTGTAATTGAGTTTCTGGGCACCTACCTGGGCTCAGTCAAACATGGGTGCACATAATACACACTGTTGTGTGCTTTTAGTTGCAGAAAGTACCATACCTTTACAGCACTAACAAGCATCACCTGGGCACCAACAAATGTCTTTTTGAATGACCTTACATTCTAAATCTTAATCGGTGGTTATATGCCAGTTTGTTGATCCTGATATGAAAATATATGTGTTTAATATTAAGGTAAATATCGTTCTAAAATGATGAAATCAGAAAGCCCTGACTCTCCAAAATAGGGTACAAACTACTGTATGAATTACACAGGACTAAATGCAAGTAGATTCTGCCACATGTATAGTACCTTCAGATGCAGTGTCTCAGGACTGAACCCAGATTTCATAGTAAAATTCTTAAATCTCAGAGGAAGTACTGTTTTGCAGGGTGATTTTTGTAGTTTAGATATTAAAAGAGAGGAAGAACCATGAAGGGGGGTATTCCAAGTTGCACATACATATGTTGGATAGAGATATGTTAATTTTAAAGTACCTTTTTCCAAGAGAATTTCAGATGCCATTTTTCAGTTGTTATTTTCTAATTTCTTTGCCACTTCTTTCTGTCCTTTACCACTCTTCCAGTTTCATGACAAGATAGATCCAACTCTTGAGAGTCTGAAACGCATAGTGGAACGTCTGAGGCAGCCACCTTCAATCTCAGCAGAGGTTGAGAAGATTAAAGAGCAAATCAGTGAAAACAAGAATGTGTCAGTGGATCTGGAAAAACTTCAGCCGGTGTATGAGACACTTAAACAGAGAGGGGAGGAAATGATTGCTCGCTCAGAAGGAGCTGATAAGGATATATCTGCTAAAGGTAGTAGACTGAGGACAGTTTCATGTAGTAGAAATGCAGCAAATTGCAGCATATAAAAAGATCTTCATTTCTAAAGACCACTAGTTTGGGCATTGTGTTCTTCTGGAGAAGCTGCTAAAGATTAATAAAAGCAAGCATTCATTTGAAATAATTCATTGTGGATGTAACCTTTGTTTTATTTTTAAAGGCCATGTTGGTTGTTTCCCCTTAACGTTATAAGGAGTCCTGTAAAGAAACAATTTTAAAGTCTAAATTTTAAAAGGTACACATATGTTTCTACTGTAAAACTGTAGAGAGATTTATGGCCAAGAATTGTTTGCCAAGGTAGTAATCTAGTTCCTTTGTTGTTTAGCTGTTCAAGATAAACTAGACCAAATGGTCCTCATTTGGGAAGACATCCAGACCTTGACTGAGGAAAGGGAGGCCAAATTGTTAGATGTAATGGAACTAGCTGAAAAGTTCTGGTGTGATCATATGGCTCTTGTAGCTACTATTAAAGATACTCAGGACTTCATTCGAGAACTGGAGGGACCTGGAGTTGACCCATCTGTAGTCAAGCAACAGCAAGAAGCTGCTGAGGTCAGTAGATTTTTGTTGACTTCAAGTGTTTTATTTACAGTGCGCAGAGAAAAGACAGAATTACTATGAAATACCATAGGAGAATATTCTTTTTTTTTAGAGATCAAGAGGGATAATTGTATAGAAATTTACTATAATGATATCTCAAGAGTCTGTGGTAAATAACATGTATCAGTGCTTAACTGCAATGAGCATGCAACGTGTGCCTGTCATTACATATTTACATATCTGTTTACAAACATGTATATAATAAGCTTGTCACTGAGATTTTTAGAAGTTATACATACTTTAGATTCCCTGAGTAACATCTAAATGAAAGGTGTATGGATGTATTATGCTCTAAGCCTGTAATTATTTATGCTGATAGTTAAAGATTTGAAGGTTCAATGATAACCTCTGAAAAAGAAAACACTCTGATTAAAGAAATCTCATTTAAAACTTCCTGTTTATTTTTTCTATCTCATGCAAAATGACATCATAAGCCATTGTTCTAATTTAGACTGATGTCAGTTCATTTCACTCTGACTGCAAAGGGATGCTTGTATTTTAAGCATCCAATTGTACGGCCAAGTGACTTTAAAGAAAGCAGAAGTTGAATGCTGCTGTGTTCTTTCTTGAAAGGAAGCTGTTCATAGATTATTAAATTTGGTATTAGCAGTGTTGGATTTTTTTCTCTTTGTAGGCTGCTAAAGAAGAAATTGATGGACTACAAGAAGAACTAGAAACAGTTGTGAGCCTTGGCTCTGAACTTAGAGCTGGTTGTGGAGAGCCTGACAAACCTATTGTCAACAAGAGTATAGATGAGGTATGAGAAATGCAGATGCTTAAATCTATTCTGTTAGATGCTTGTTCAGCTGAAATTGGTATATCCCCTCTGCCCCCAGCAAATTTTGAAAATGAAAAATTGTGGCAAAAGTGAGACATACCTGAAGTCTTTGTGGTAAAATAAAGTTTGCCTTTCAGATAAATGAATGTTGACTCAGATTAGATTAGAATGCACAATTTTATTTTATTGATTTATGGGTTAAAATATTTGTAAAAGACAGATTTTTTGTAAAAAGTTTATTGTAAAAATTTTTTCACAAAAATACTCACTGATTAATACGATAGATGGGTACTTTTTGCAAAAGTAATGCTAGAATAAACTTCAGATATATCTGGTTTATGCCAAGTGAGACATCTTAACTGAGACAGTCCTGTTTGGATGACTGCAAGGTACTTTTAATTTCTCTAATGTTCATCAATGTACATTTCTTTTAAGATACCTTTATTATAATGATGCAACTCCAAATGATTTAATGTTATTTCCTGCATTAACTATAATCTCTATGTTAAAAAATACTCAATCATTGGTATTGAAGTTTACAGCTTTTGCAATCCAGAACCGCTAGTGAAGGAAACTAACTATGCAGTGATAGGGAGAACAAGAGTGTTAATACGGAATTAATATGAACTATTCATGCTTAGTTCATTGGTGTTATTGATCAGTGAATGATTAGTGAATGCACATTATACAGCAGTAAAATCCTTTTGTCCGTCGGACTAAATTGCACTTATTTGCAGCTGAATTCTGCCTGGGATGCCTTAAACAAAACATGGAAAGAACGGGTGGATAAACTTGTTGAAGCTATGCAGGCAGCTGTTCAGTACCAAGATGGACTGCAGGTAAGATGGTGTGAGTCACTCAGTCTTGAGTCAATAGGATTTAACGTTGTGGTAGTAAAAAATGTCATGTGATTGGGAGGTGACAAGTAAGGTATCATTCTGATTATAGTGACTGTTTTCTTCAGTAGGCAGGTATTTCTTCTCAGGGTTGGTTGGTGTTGCTGCTTTTTGGTTGGCTGGTTTTGGGTTGTGGTTTTTTTTGCATTAAAGAATAAATCTGTTGATTTGTTTTTTTCACGTAGTCGTTTGTATATTGCGCTATGTTTCATGTCCCTTTGTTGAGAAGAACAGAGGTTTTTGATACCACACATTCATGGTAATCCTGTTCACATCTTCCTGTGATAGTCAGTACTCCGTATGATAGATGAATTCAAGTTGTGACACATTTACATGATCTGAAGGGAACAGAATACAGGTTCATATACTCACTTGCTGCTGTTTTCTTTGAGTGGAGGACAGTCAAAGAACTTCAATTTTATTCCACCTTTCTTACAAGTCAAATATTTAAGTTTGAATATTTAAAGCAAAAAATACTATTAACATAATGTTGCTGGACCATTATACTAATCCTTAGTATAATTTATCCTATCACATTACTCTAAAAGATGATTCACTTTTTAAATCTGTAGGTAAATTTTCCATCAGTTTTTTTTAAAAAACAAACAAAAACCAAAACCCCAAAAAACCAAACAAAAAACCCAAGGGCATTGGACTAAATGACCTTTAAAGGTACCTTCTAACCCAAACTGTTCTATGATCTTTTCTGTCTGTGTGCTGTATTTCTTTTTTTTGCATATTCTTTGCACTTTTTGGCTGAGTGGCATGCCTCATATCTTTTGTCAGTGAATGACTAGAAGATTGAAACATTTGAAAAGATTCCAAACATAGTCAGATTTTGCAAAACTATTTTTTTGCTCAGTGGAATTACTTTCTTGGTTCATTAAATCTTTAAAATTAGAGTTTTACATGACACTGGGGACAGTTACTTGTGTGTTTGGTGCAGATCAAGCAGCAGAACACTCCTTAATAATAATGCAACATGCCTGGTTTCCAGTGCACACTCACTAAGTATTTTTCTCCAAGTTCTCTGATGTTCATCCTGCACAGAGGTTGACTTGTGGGGTTACATTAGGAATACTGCCATTGGTTTAAGTGCTTTGTATTTCTTGTGGCTGTACATTGTACATCCTACAAGTTTGGTACTTTGTGAAAGAACTGTATTTAAGTGCCTTCTTATGCTCATTTCAATAGATAATACAAAAAATATAATGGGCGCATTGTTAGCTGCAGCTGCCTCATCCTGTTGAGCGTGTTGGGGGTAGTTCTCCTTTTCTTGGGGAGCTGTGCAGCAGTGGGCAGCTCCAACAAGCTGTCCTAAACCTTTCTCCATAATGAATCACAGATAATGGGCAGGAGGAAAGGAGCTTAGCAGAGTTGTGTTTTCCCCTATGCAATTACCCACATTGATACAGCTGTTCTTAATCTGTAAGTAGGGTATTCTGGAGGTTGTTCTGCGTTATATAAGGAGCAAAAGAAGTACCCACAAAGCCTCAGAACTGGGGAGGCTTCATTTATTTTTAAAATTATAACTGCGTTATCCTATGAGGATTCAGTCAAGCTCAGTTACGCCCCTTTACTACCTAATATGTACTGAATGGGTCGTGTTCCATGTTCCTTACACAGATAACATTATCATTCAAAAGAAGTGTGTTTGTAATCATCATTTAAAGTATGCTATCATTTAGCTACCGCCTTCCATTTTCACTCCGATGGACTGCAGAACAGAGTTTGTCATGTATTTACCTTTCAGGGCATTCATAAAAATTGCTGATCTTGCTCGAGAAGTAAAGTGCCACTCAGCATGAATAGTACTGGCAGAATATTGCTGCTAATAGGAGCTCAGTCTTGCAGCATGTACATTCTTGTAACCGTTATAGGGAATACTTTAGTTAATATTTGATCCCTTGTATTGCAAAGAAACCTAGGTTTTGCTGAAGAAAGGTATTTTCTTTCAAAAAGCACAGCAATATTGTTCTCTGGGGTAAAAAAAAAAAATCTGATATTTTACTTACTACAGTTTTCAAACATGACAGTATTTCTCTGCTCACGCTTGAATTTCATGCTGTGATTTTCAGGCAATATTTGACTGGGTAGATATTGCTGGCAGTAAGTTAGCATCTATGTCCCCAGTTGGAACAGATTTGGAGACAGTGAAGCAGCAAACTGAGGAACTTAAGGTATGAACTAGCAATTCATTTAATTTCTATTTTCATCTGTCTGCATTTTTGTCTGTTTAGTATTTTTCTGTATTTTTCAAGAGTCAAAGGCAATTTTCATTTTCAATTTCTAGTAAAAAAGAATCTGTATGAAAATTTCAAATAACATTTCATTGCAAACTTTTAAGTTTAAAATATGTTTCATTTTAAAATATGTTCCAAATTTTGGTGAGACTACATTTGATTTTGTGGGTGTGTTCTGATAGCCTAGAAACACTTGTAATAGCATTCCTTCTCTTTCAAAGGCTGTAAGATTATGTACAGGGTTCTTTTGCTATGACCTTTACGTTTTCTGGTTTATACCATGAAGAGCTTCCTTGAGGCTCATAGAGAATGCCTCCAAAGCTTCACTTCTGCTATTATAGGCTTTATCTAAATGCTCACACAGATCATGACATTCCCAATACATGAGTAAGCCAAAAATCAAAATTTCAGGCTTAGAAATGTGTCTGTCTGGATTTGTGACTGAGTATGCTCCTGACATTGGTAGGATGTTATGGTATATATAAAAAACAGGGATGTATAATGATCAGGGAATGTCCTTGGTTTTGTTGTTCACTTGTACACTTTTTTGGCTAATCTGTCTATTTTATGATGTAACTTCAAATGAACTGTGATCTTACATAGTTCAGAACACCACACATATGTGAGTTGTGTTCAGCCTGCTGCCCAAGTTGCATGTACAAGAGGGTGTTCTACTAAAGAAAATTTGCTTTCAGCTCTTTTGAAGAATAATTCTATTTGAAGTTTAAAGTAGTGTATTATCACAACCACAAGAGCTAGAAGTTACTCAAGATATGTTCTGCCTTTTTTGCAGACCAGGGAGATCACTGGAGGATACTTTCCTATTGGGCATCTTTATCATCCTCTGCTCACAGTTAGCAATATCTGTTAGAATAGTAAGACGTATATTTTCAGTTAGCTGGAACTGTCAGAATTATCAGTGTCTTACAAGCATTTTGACCCTGGAAAACAAACCCCCAAATTTATTAAAGTTGACGGTGATGCATTAGTATTGTCAATATTGCTGTACTATGCTATATTCAGGAAGGTCATTACTTGTGATATGTTTATTTGTATTCTTCTTCTATTTACCATAGCAATTTAAGACAGAAGCTTATCAGCAGCAGATAGAAATGGAAAGACTGAACCATCAGGCAGAACTGTTGCTGAAGAAGGTAACAGAGGAGAGTGACAAGCACACTGTTCAAGACCCTCTCTCTGAGCTCAAACTAATGTGGGACAGCCTAGAAGAAAAAATTATAAATAGACAGGTAAATAAACTTGAAGGTGGGGGGCTTTATTAATGACTTAGATTTTTGAGAAAAACTTTTTATTATGTATAATATATGTATCAATTGACACATTTATTCCTTTTAGTTTGGAAGTTACAGAACTATATATAATGGAATTTGAATTGTACAATTTATTGAGTTGTTTTTATGGTTTTTAAACCCTTAACAGTATTTTTTTTGTCACTTCCTCTGTCAGCAGTAACGTGTTGAATCATTATTATTTCATTTTGGTTATTTGACATCTTAAGTAGCAGTTGAAGATATGTTTACATATGCAGAAGTAATATTAGCTGCTGAACTGAGCTCTTGGGGGGGGGAGTAACCAACAAAACCAACCAAACAAACAAACCAAACAAAAAAAACCCCACCAAAACCCCACAACTTTTAATATTAAACTGGTTCAGTGCTCTTTCCTTAAATTTTCAAAGTGAAAGAGAGATTTAAAGATGCAGTGCTTTGAAGTGTATTTGTTTTCTGAATTGAATCATTTCATGACAAAGAAAAGGTTTTATAAAGATCATGCACCAAATCGCATTTATATTGAAATTGTTTCAAACGATGAAAAACTACTGTCGTATCTCTGAGAGAACCTTCGAACTTAACTCTACTCTGGTTACATGGGATCTTTGAAGGTCAGGAGTGTAAGTCTGGAATGTAAGGCTTTACAAGAGAATTGCTAACTCAGCTCTAACTGTAAAGCAGTTGCTTGTGTTGGATAACTGTTTCTCCCTGATTTTTATGCTATCATATGCATGGACTCCACTCTGGATTATGGTGACTAATGGTAATATAAGCCAATTCAATAGCATTGTGAAACCATTTTATTGTTAATTTTATTTTTACTCTAGCACAAGCTGGAAGGTGCCTTGTTAGCCTTGGGGCAGTTCCAGCATGCCCTGGATGAGTTACTGACGTGGCTGACACATACAGAAGACTTGCTGAATGAACAGAAACCTGTGGGCGGAGACCCCAAGGCTATTGAAATTGAACTTGCCAAACATCATGTATGTAATTATAATTAATATTAACTGAAATGTTCTTTTGATGTTTATCTTAGTGACGAGTTTTGTAGTAAAACTTAGCACTCGATAAATAATTCTCTATAGAGATTTTCAAGATGCAGATTATAGCTGAAATGCAGGCTTGAAATAACTAGTATCTTTCCTCTTACTTCTCCATAACTTCCTTGCATATGCCATGCAAGTGGCATAGGTTTTAGACCAAAAAGAGCAGTTCACTGTAGTCTCCACCTTTATTCACCTTCGTTTGACCCAGGGAACTCAAAAGTTATTGAACCTGCTACTCTTCCTGAAGCAATAAACTCCTGATTCGTTCTGTTTAGGCCAGGTCTCACAAAATGAACATGACTGTTGCACATCTTTCATTCTTCTTTATTCCTGCTCAGAAAATAGTAATTTGTTGTTCTGAATTCTGCAAAGTTGTATCTCAGTTGGCTCCAACTAACATGGAGAATGCTTCTCTGAAAATCTCAGCATACTTCAGGGGTATCCATGCCCTCATCTTTTTTGTTACATACAATGTAGAGTTAACTTTTTATTTTTTTGTTTTAGTATTTTTACTGATTATTGTGACTTTGGAGCCCGTGGAAGAATGCTTCCATTGTGCCTTTATTTTGAACAGTATCTCCCAGGACCAAGAGATCTTCCCTTCCTCTTTGTGTGACTCTGTGCTGTTCATGATGATATGTTCTTTCTAGGCCTGAAGATTTCAATCTAACCTCATAAATCTGCTCCTTTCCTTTAAATCTGCCATTTAATTTTTGGCCTCCCTATTATGTGAAAAGTATTCATAGTCCATTTTAGATTTAGAGAGAATTGATTGAAATTGACATTACACAGATAAGGTATTTTCATTGTCTGTGTTAGTGCAGCTATCCAGCTTCTGAAGCCTTCTGTGTGGTCAGTTGAAACTTGAGCAGAGTACAGTATCTGCATGCCCTATGTGACTACTGTTATAAACAGACCCTTTAAAAAAATAAATAAGTAAATTTAGAAACCCAGCTTCTGTGCCTTGAAGCTTTTATATTCGTATCGAACAGAAGTGGTTTACTACTGCCGAAGCATCCAGACATCATTTATGTCTGTGCTCAACGAGTTCAGCAAACACATGAATGAATCTACTTCCTTTTCGTAAAACAGAGTTTATAGGTTAGAAAGTTCACGCAATAGTGCATCCTGTGGTAGCCTGTAAAAACATCCATCTCTGGAATAACTTTGGGAAGAATAGACCTTGTTCTTAGTGAGCCTCTGCAGGAAGGAAGGGATAGGATGCATCTGATTCTGTGAATATCCCTTTTTTTTGCCCTGTTAGAAAAATAAAATAACGAATATCTTCCAGTGCTTAGCTTAGAATAATTAAAGCAAATGTGATGCATATTTTGTATACAAGGGCTACTTGTGACTTGCTGTTTCATCAGGTGCTCTGTATAGTTTATTTTAAAGTTCCTTTATATTTAGTTTTATGTTTTTTCCATATGCTAGCATTTTGAGGGAGGGGAGTTTGAACCAGACTCCATGGAGGACAGCAGTCCTAAACTTGAATTTCTCAGATCGAGTTTATCATTCCTTCCCCAACCATTTTGCGTATTCTCTTTTTCGGTTCTTTATTTCTGGTATTTTAAAGCTTTTTTTTTTTTTAAAAAAAAAGAGTCTTTCTGATGACAGCATCCATTTCGCAAATGTACTTTTTGCCTTTTATGGTTTTACTGTGGTTGGTGATAACAGGTTTTCAACCAGACGGAGGAGGTCTTCTGGTGTTAGTATTACAATCATTCCCCAGCTTTTAGCACAGCTGAAGTGTCCTGGTAGCCTGACGTAACGTGAAACAAGTTGTAGACGTGAAATGCATGAAAAGACATCACAGCAGTCAGGTGGTTGTATGATACAGCAGGCACGTAGTATTCTTGTTCCTCTCTCTCCTCTCTTTTCAGACTACTGCTCCACAAGCAGTTGGCACTACTATATGTAACACTGTTTTCACACCCTACCCTCAAAACCAAAGAAAAATCCTATTAAAGAAAAGTATGTTGTAGATTAAGAAAAGTGAAGAAATAATTCTTCACTAGCAGTACTAGAAACCTTTCACAATTTCAGAAATACATATATTCAGAAGGAATTACTTTTTCCAAGATCTAAAAGCAAAATGTAGCATTTTGACAGAATGGGCTGTTACTGCATTTGATTGAAGAGACCTTTAGTTATTAGAATTAATTGCAGATACCTGTGCTCATGTTAAACTATTGCCTTCTCACTGGATTAGAACTAGCTCAGTGATTGCCTTCATTCAATAGCTTATCAACATGGCCAGTCATACATGCTGCGTTATAATTGTAGGTGCTACAAAATGATGTTTTAGCTCATCAGTCTACGGTGGAAGCAGTTAAGAAAGCAGGAAATGATCTGATTGAATCAAGTGCTGTTGAAGAAGCAAGTAATTTACAGAGCAAGTTGGAACTCCTGAATCAGCGCTGGCAAAACGTGTTGGAAAAAACAGAACAAAGGAAACAGCAGCTGGACAGTGCCTTGATCCAGGTGAACAGGAAATGATCGAATAAAGAGATACTCAGAAAAATTGTCTTTTAACATGAAATACATAGATACATATATTAGATTTTGGCTTAAATCAAAACCATAATGCAGACACTCCTGAATTTGGAGAAAGTTTGACTCCAGCTGTATCTTCCACAGCTGGCCACTGTCTTATAGTGCTGAATCAAGACTTCAGCTTTTGGCTTACTTATTTTTAAAGGGTAAAATTTCTGTATAGGTATACTGATCTCACAGTTGCTCATTTAGCCTGCTTTCAAGATTTCCATGGTTTTGTTTTTATCATTTAGACTGGATTCAGCTAGTTTAAATTTTGGGTTGGTTTGGTTTTTTTCCTTTGTTTTTTTTTTTTCCCTTTGATTTCCTTTGATTATTGGAAATAGCTGATTAAATCTGTTGCCAGTATACTTCTGCATCTGAGCTAGTATTAGAATAGAGAACATTTAAGTAAGCTCTAAAATGATATGGTATGATTTAGGCCCAGGGTTTCCATGGTGAAGTTGAAGATATGCAGCAATGGCTGACAGACACTGAGCGTCAGCTGTTGGCATCAAAACCTGTTGGAGGCTTACCAGAAACAGCACGAGAGCAGCTTAATACCCATATGGTAAGTATCAGTGTTAGAATGTTTTGCAAATTGCATTTCAGGACCAGCTATCTTTCAGGAGTGTTTATGGTAAATACAGAGCATGTTCTATATATCACAATATCTGTACAGTGTCTTAAAAAATTTTAATAGCCTTCAAAACAACACTGTAATTTTCAATGTAGGAAAAGTAGTCACTTGGAAGGTGCCCAAAGCGGAATCATTAATAGTGTTGAGACAGTAATAAAAAAACTTTTGCACCCTTATTCTCAGAAAGAAAAACAGAAAGTGTTTGCAGATTTTTCAGTGATTCTTATTCTTCTTTTCCCTTCTGTCCCCATAACTACATTTATGCGTTTTTCTAAGATATGAAGATGAATCTAAAAGTGATCCACATTCATTGGACCTTGAATTAAGAGACTGAATACTTTATTCTTTATCTAACCAAAGCTGACATTAAAGTCATCATTAGCATAGATGTAATACGGACTACTGGGTCATATAGAGACTCTGCTTTAACTGGAAATGGCAAGCTGGTCAGGATGCCTGAATTATTTTCTTCCTTCCCTTCCTTTCTCTTTAAAAAACATTGTATAGATTTCTCTGCTGCTGTAGCACCTTAGAGCTTAAAAAAAGACACTTAAACTTGATCTCTTACCTCAAAGGAAGGTGGTTCATAGTGCTCCATTTATGTAAAATCATGCTGTGCTGTTAGGCCAGGATATAAATCCAGTGATCTAAACTCCTGACCTCCTGGCTCAGATGTAACAGTTATACTTACTGAACTGTCCCTGCACTGGAATATGCCTGACACAGTTTCATTAGAACACTGCATTGTCATAGCTTTAAAAATCAGATTCTATTTTGGAATGATGCTAAAAGTGATTGCCCACCAATGTGAGGCGCTTTTTTTTTTCCCTTCTTTTCCTCTAAAATTTACTAGTAGCTATTTTTGAGAAGGAAAATAATTAATTTTTTTTAATTTTTTTTTTTCTTCCCCTGTGAGGATGGGGCCTAATCACGCTTCCATTAGAGTCAGTGGAGCTCTTCCTATTTTTCATCCTGGACTTAAAGTCAGATCAAGGCCAAAAAATTTTCCCTGGAAAATTTCAGTGTTTTCTTTGGTACATTCTTTTACTATGCTAATTTTCTGTACTTATTGTACTTACAGATAGATTAGTTAAAGAATCTTTAAACTGAATGTAGTATTATAGTTGGAACAAATGTGGATGTGTCCCTAGTAATATGTACTCTATATGTACAATCATTTCCTAGCTGTATGTGTACATTTTAACAAGTTGTTACTATGCTGTGGACCATCGTATAACTGCAGGCATTGAGTTGTTATCCTTTAATGTATATAAACCTTAAAAAATAGGACGTGATTTCAGTTCAGTTAAACCTCAGTGCCTTTTTTTTTGGCTGGCTGAAATGTTGAGGCCACTTGTGATGTTGAATACTATTTGTCATAAGTTCCAAATTCAAACTTTCCCCCAAGTGATACAAACCATGTTAATTTGTGATGTGAAACTGAAGAAGAAAGTTTTGCACTGTATTTTGATTTGTTTCTCATTGGAAATACCGTTATGAACCATCTTCTTCAGTATAAAGTCTGTTTCTACAGATAGGAATAGAAGAGCCTTCAACCATAATCAGTTTACAAATGGAGTTGAGATTGGGCGGCATTTCCAGCTAAGGCAGCTCCAGAAAAATAAAAGATATTAAGAGACATTACAGGACACCAGCAAGAAAGGGGCTTAAAAAACCTCTTTGGCTGTCCTAGTGCTGCTCAGAACATCCCTCTCCTTTTCTTAAAACAATAAATTTTTTCTCAGTTTCTCCTTTAAAATAACTTTAACTGCCGCTGCCCTCTTAAGAGTGTGACCATACTGCAGAATTAACCACTGTGATGACCCCCTGTGTTACAGTGAGACCAGCCCCAGTGTTCAGGACCACTCCTGCCTTGCCGTGTCTCACCTGTGCTATGCTCCCTGTTTACTTCTGAGGGGTTCTTGTGCTGCAGTAAAATAAGATGCTTTGGGGAGTTATGGAAAACAGAAATATTGTAGGGAGGTTGGGAGCATAGGAGGAAGCAGGCTAGGTGATGCCACTTTTCATAGTCCTCAGAAAGAAACAAAGAAGCTTTCTGTCCTGTTAAAATCTTACCTTATGGTTGAACCTGCTTCCTGCTTTGCCACCCTCTGTGATCAGGTACAATCCTGTGTACAGTATCTCTTAGCCCAAAGTAAATGTTGGGTTTGCGCTCTTGTCCTGGGAATCAGAGGAAAAAGTTGTTTTCCTCCTATTTGCAAGCCACTTATTGCCCATCTCCTGGAAGATGTTCCTGATTTAGGAGTCTGCAGGAACTTCGTTGGTACATTTTGGATGGTCTGTTACAAATACTGAACATGCCCTTTTGAGTCAGAGGGATGCATGGGACCTCCCAGCCTCTTGCCACCTCATCTTCAACATGGTTAAAAAAGAACAGTTAGTGGAATAGTTAGCAGGTAAAACAGTTGTTATCGTTATTCTTCCAGCTTGCTTTGTATGTGTAAAATGTCTTCAGTGGTCTTGCCTAGCGAGTGAAGGAAGACACAGACTAAACAAAAGAGACAATGTACGATAAAGCAGCCCTCCCAAGTTGTCCCACCCACTTTTGAAGGTGTATTGGATAGGTCTGGGCTTTCAGCACACTGTATAATGCTGACACTTTTTGTGTTTCAGTTACAGATGGACTTTAAACCAACCAAGTTGTAGCAAATCTCGTGCAATAAGTGAATAGTACTTTCTTTGCCAAGCTTTGGATCTCAGAGAAAACATCTGACAGACAATACAAATTCTCATTTCCTGTAGATTTGGGCCCTTTCTTTGCTCATTTGCCTTTTTATGAATTACATATGTTTCCTTTATTAGTCTTAATCATACATGCTAAATGTTGAAGGAGGAGTAAATATTGTACTAGCATTTGTAAAGAGTATTGAATTTCTACCTGACTTATTTTTTGGTGCTTTCTTTATTTAGGAACTTTGTGCTGCCTTTGAAGCCAAAGAAGAGACGTATAAGTGTCTAATGCAGAAAGGCCAGCAGATGCTTGCAAGATGCCCAGAGTCTGCTGAAACAAACGTTGAGCAGGACATAAATAACTTAAAAGAAAAATGGGAATCAGTACAAACAAAGCTCAGTGAAAGAAAAGTATGTATTTTTGCATAAAAATAGAAGTGTAAATTATGTATTTAAGGATGTTAATGTTCAGTGCTTTTATGCATGCATACTTGCTTGATCTTTTAGATTTAAAATCGATTGTAGAGACAGTTATGCAGAATTCATTGGTAAGTTTAGAAAGTACTGGGAAAAAAATGGGATTCAAGAAGTAGATTATCCATAATTGGGGAGGAGGATGGGTGAGAGTGTCACAAGTCTGTTCCAGAGAAATACGTTAACTAATACTGATAATGCTCATTTGGTAGGACAAGGGCTTTTCTGGTTTTTATTACATTAATCGTAGATGTGAGAGAGTGAATAAAATTATTTGGTTATTCGAGTTTATCTCCTTCTCAGTACAGAATTGCTGCATTAATTTTCTTAGCTTTTATCCATCTTTTTTCTTAAAAGTCCCAAACACTTGGTCTTTTGCCACTTACTTCAAGTGACTGCCTTCTGTTCTAACATAGATCAAGAGCATGATTTCACTGATATGCAACATACGTTTTCTTTTATTCATTTCATTTTGCTTTCATTCCCTCACAAAGTATAGTCCATTTGTTTTACCTCAATCAAAAAATGAAGAATATCTATAATTACAAACAGAGGAAGTCTCTGTACTGCCCTAATATGTACAAAGCACAAATATTTAATTCAGAACTTGGTTATATTTTACATTGAGAATGCTGGTGTCTCTTAAGGTAACTGTATAATGTAAAAATGTCAAACAAATTAATACCCAATATGAGTACATTCTTGCAGGAAGCTGTAAGGTTAGATTGCTCAATTTGGCCAGCAGTGTGATTGTTTGAAAATGTCTGACTGCTGTCTCATGATCAACAAAAATTCTGTATCCAAAATTAGTCTTGATTCAGGCAACCAAAGTGACAATTGGGCTTTATTAAGAAGAAGTGGTCTAAGCAAACTTGTTCTTTGTTTAGTGCAAGAGAATAAATTTGATGACCTCCTTGAGGCTCTTCCAAGTGCACTGCCACCTTAGATTTCAGAGATTCTACTGGTTTTATATTGAAATGGATAAATCCATGTGTTCCATTAGGATTAAGTAGTAGAAGATGTAATACTCTAATTAGAAAATTTTATCTTGATACTAGGTGCTGTATTTTCTACTCATCTATCATACATAATTTTACTGTTACTCTTCTATTCATCTCCTTTAATGTGCTCAAATCTAGACTATTATTTTAAAACTCAGAAACTTTGAGTTGGAAAAGTGTTTTTAAATGCTAAACTAAAATGGTTTACTCCAAAGTGCTGAACTAAAATGGTTTACTTGGCTGAACTCCCTGCACAGTATCAGCTGCTATTAAAGTATGACCTATCTTTACAGACCAAACTGGAAGAAGCCCTCAATTTAGCAATGGAGTTCCACAACTCACTTCAAGATTTCATCAATTGGCTTACTCAGGCTGAGCAAACTCTAACTGCAGCTTCTCGGCCAAGTCTTATCTTGGACACTGTCTTGTTTCAAATTGATGAACACAAGGTATGTAAAGAAACAGATGTGTAATGTTTTTCTCCCACTCTGTGGAGATACTTCAACAATGTCCAAATGAACCCTGTAACACTGGCACTTGGAGAAACATTTGTTTTAAAATTACATTTTATAGTATTTCTCGCTACATCATTCTTTATCAGACTGTTTTTTTTCAGTGTTTACCCAGTGCTTGAATAATGTAGTATTCAGAGTAATTTTCTCCCTTTTTTCCAAGGTTTTTGCCACAGAAGTGAATTCTCATCGAGATCAGATCATAGAGCTGGACAAAACTGGAACCCATTTAAAATATTTCAGCCAGAAACAGGATGTTGTCCTTATTAAGAATCTGCTGATTAGTGTACAGAGTCGATGGGAAAAAGTAGTTCAACGCTTAGTTGAAAGGGGAAGAGCTTTGGATGACGCCAGGAAAAGAGCCAAACAGGTAATCAGACAACAGCTGTTGTACAGCTCTTTGAACTTAGCTGTAATTACATCCAGACTCTTAAAGAATATGGTGCTTTAAAGCTTTTTCAAGTAAATCTGGGTTTAGTGTAACAGCACTGTTGAGTTAGTGGGGCAATTTCTGTGATTCAATCATAGAGCACTTCATTTGGGACGTGAAAGCGTCATTTTCAACGCAAGCAGTGACTTCTGCCTGCAGTACAGGATAGTCTGAAAGAAGAAAGTTACAGTATGGCTTCCAGAGGTATATTAGTGCCATCTGTCCCCAAAAAGAAGTTTCACAATCAACCCTTTATATTTTGAAGAACATGATGAACTCCTTTCACTAATCTGTGGGGATATTCCTTAGTATTTTCTTCCTGGGTTTATGTTGTTCCCTGATTAATACTCATCACTTCTTCAATCTCTTGTTAGTTACTAGACCGATATCTTCTGTGTGGCAAGGTATCTCCATTTATTTCCTTAAAAACCTCAAGAGTTTTTTGACACAGTTTTCCTCACCAGGGAGCATTCCTGTTTTTTTTGCTTAGATTCACGTTTCCCTCACTGAGGAACATAAATGATAGATGCAAAATGTGTGAGAGGAATGTAATCTTTTTATATGTCAGTAGGAAGTTCTAGCTTCTTTTTATTCACGTGAACATGACCATTCAAGATTTGGTCATGTTCACAGCCAAACCACATTCCCATGTTCACTGCTACTGCCACTCAGCTCAAGGAGTAAGAATTTCTGTGAGCAATGAATTAGTCCATAAGCCAATCAAATGTTATTTATTTTCCAGCAGTTTCTCTTGTGCATTCATGCACATGGCATTTCTTCAAGGAGATGGATTTCATCTGTATATCCATTTACAGACCTGAATACCATAAGTTACTAATTTAGGATGACAACTATCTATGCAGAGTGAGGAAGGAGTACTGAAGGGTACTGGTGTCAAGGCGTGATCCACAGCCCTGAACAACAGGGTCCAGGAGCTTTGAGAGTTTTCTGAACTAGTTTCTTTCATGTGTAGACAGCCCAGGCAAGAAGAATTTTCAAAAGAAACACAGAGAGAGAAATGACCAGCTTAGAAAAACTGAATCCCAAAGGGATGCCACTTTGTGAAAGCTGATTGAATCTTTAGTTTTCCCCTGTTTCCTTCCCTGAAGCACTCTTTTTGTTTAGATGGGAAGGAAGATCAAGAATCTGTTCCTTATCAGTCAAGATAGCATTTGATATAATGAGAGCATCTATGAGCATCCCAGGGAAAATCTTGGGCAGTCATCCAGATAGGATTTTTCTGCGGTGATTTACTGCTGTTGTCCCATATAGACAATAGCTAAGTCCCATTCTTGCTGTGTTTACTATTCATTACTAACAAATGTAAGAATCCAAGTGGCCAGCATATCAACGGAAGTTATCAATATGTCTCTGAAAGATACGTACTATCTGTGCAGATTGTGTACATAAAAGCTTGCTAATTCACCTGGGAGAAGGGAGGCTAAATCCAGTGGGCAGATGTTTGGGCGAGCCCTGTTTGAGAGACCAGGGAGAAAAAGCAGACTAAATCTTTCTGAAGTTTGCAGGGAGTACTTGTTTGGCCTGTAGAGAATTGATTGGGGTTTAATGTTTTCAGGCTATTTTATGAACCATTGAATTTTAAAATCCATGCAAATCTCACTTCTCTGCAGTTCCATGAAGCCTGGCATAAACTTATGGAGTGGCTGGAAGAGTCAGAGAAATCTTTGGACTCAGATCTTGAAATTGCAAATGACCCTGACAAAATAAAGATGCAGCTTGCCCAGCATAAGGTGAGTCATTAGTGGTGAAATGCAAAGTGCCCAGTGAGACGTAGGTAAGTCTTACCAGCCTTGTACTGTTCAGTCAGCAGGGGAAGTGGATTTGTGGCCTCACTACAATGGAGTCCTTATTAGCATCAAATTAAATGGTGGTGTGTTACAGGTGGGGAGTGACAAAAAGCTTTTCACAGTATCTGATCTCTGGGGGAATGGTTAACTATGAAGAGGAAAGACATAATAATAATATGGAAACTTTAGAAAACAAAGTAATACTATCTCAGAATAGGAACCTCTGAAGAGGTTTTATTACAGGCTTTTTTCCGTCCTTGAACCACAAATTTACCATCCAGTTATTTGGTTGGGATTTTCCTTTTAATACTATAGGACCACCCCAAAACTGAAAAATAATCTTTTGATTGGCAGTTACTTTTTATTTCAAGTGGAAATATTAATGAAGTCTTCTAGAAAGTACAAAGACACCGTTAGTAGCAAAGGTGGTTTCTCTTTATGGGATTCAAAATTCCAGGACCAGCTTTCCACAAACCCTGCTACTGTAGGTGAAAATGTAAAAATCTTCCCAATTGACCTGGCATTTCAAACAAATAACGATAATGTAAAATCTCTGTGGTTCCATCAGACACAGAGCAAAAGGAAGGATGGAAAAAGTCTTTACTTCATTTTTACTTTTGTAAAGAGCCTAGAATAATATATTATGGAGGATCAAGTGGCTGAGTGGTAAAATCTTCAGAGACAGACTGTCTCAAGATTTATCCTGGAGCCGTTTCATCAGAGACAGAGTATTGAAAGATCATTCATTTTTGTACATTGTGGCATACGTTTACTTATGCTTTTCATGTCAGTTTTATTGTTCTCCATTTAATCCTATGTTTTTCATGCTACACAATATCCCCAAGGGTTTGCATATCTAATTTTTCCCTCTCAATGTAGCTTCTGATGTTTGGTTTGGGGTTTGTTTTTTTTTTACCTCTGACAAATTTTGCCATGTATACTAATGATTGGTTACTGCATCCATCTGCTTTTTACTTTTATCATCTCTCAGTTTACATGATGATTTAAGTATTGTTTATCAACCAGGAAAATATTCTCCTTTAATATGGGAATGTTGGCTGTTGGTCAAGCAAAAATAGTTTTACCTATGTTTGCTGTTAAGACTTTTAGATAAAACCTACATTAACATTCTGCTATGCTAACTCTGCAATTTCAGTTTGTTCTGGGATTGCTACTGTTGCCAGAATTTGAAGTCAGCAGTAGGAATTTAGGCAAAAAAACACCTTTCTGTTAAGATAGTCTTTCTTGTCTTCTCTGACTCTATAATTCTTTTAATCCTTTCACTCCTCTCTTTTCTTTATATAAAGTTCAAACTCCTCACAAGTACGGTCAACACATTGTGACTTTACTTTGAGGTCCTTTCAGGTCCTGAGGTTTGAGTCTCTGCCTTCAGTCTCCTCCCCTCTTCTGAAATGTTAAACTTGATAATCCCACTTGTTCTTTATACCTACAGCAGTACGTTTTATGAGCCCAAGCTTCCTCACATGGATTGGCAGACTCATCACTTCTCTCAATGATATCTTTTCTCCAGCTTCTTTTTGTATAAAATGCCTGCAGACAATAACTACTTGAGTTGCTTGAATCTCATTTCTCATTAAGAAATGGGATGAAATGTGGCACAGGGATATTAGGTTTGAAACTGTCGATTTGGAGGAAGAAGATGAATGTGTGTGAGAGAGGGAGTTCTGTGAACTTTGTGACTTTAAACTTCGAACAACCCCCCCAAGAAATCAACTCAATTGTTTTTTAATGAGCTGTCAAACCTCCCAACACTGCAATGTCCTTCCTTGTATTTTGAGTCTTTTCCTTCCACTCCCACATATACCACATACGTCTGTCTTTGTCTTTTCTGTCCAGCCTTGAAGGTTTCCGTGCTCCGTTTAGTTAATGATTTTGCTATCTGAAATGAATGTGTGCTGTGTTTGTGTGCGGTAAGCAATAACTTGGACTTGCTCTTTGCCAGTTGTTACTGCCAAAAAAAAAAAGGTCCCTAAAAGAGAAAAGCCAAGATAATGTTTTCTCTCACTCATCTCTAGTGTGTTGCCAGGGACTTTTGGAGGTTATTCATGGTCTGTTTACCAGCCATTTTTTTCTCATTTTTAGAAGTAAGGAATGGAAAAACCCTTCCTAGGTCACCCAGTCCATTCCTGTGCTAATGCTGAATGTTCCTTACAGTACATTTATATGAACCTGGCTATTTTTATCTGTATTTTCCTATCTTCCTTAGAAGGAAGGTAGATAGTTAATTACTGAGATTTTGTTCATCTTACCTGTCTGCTCCTGGCAGCTTAAACCAAAATCTACTCTCAGTTACACCTCTGAAATCAAATGAAAGTAGATATGATGTAGTGTGTGTAGTCTCTCAAAGAATGATTTGACTGCAACCTTTTGTTCACCTTTAGATCTGTTTTTCCCGTATGGTCCTTCTCTGGCAGCAATTTCATTGTGTTTCGTCATGAAAATCAAGTAACACTGTGCATGTAGTGTTAAGTAGTTAATAAACCCTACCAAATAAAAGGGGCACAGACATATTGTTTATATTGATGGAACTTTTATAAAAACCTGGTTATTTTAATTTTTAAAATTATTTTTATTTTTATTGTAGTTCTAGCTTGACAGTGGTGTTTGTATTCTTTCTTAAAGTGTGTTTCCTTCTTGTTGTATATGAGGAAAATGAAAGGACAGTAAGGAAATACTGAATTTATAAAACAAATGCTGCTTTTTTATTTTTTCCTTCTGATAAATTTTGATTCTCAATTCCCTCAATTGCTGAAATAACCCTGAAGTAAGGACAGTACAGGGCAAAATACCAAGCAAGTTTTAAAAAAGGAACCGTGAATCACCCTTGGTAAAGTTGTCATACTGTCTGCATGGCATAACCCAATGCCTACCTCCTGCTTAAGACACCTGCATTCCACTTGAACTTCCCCTGACACACATTCACACCTAAAAAGAGCAGATGACTATGTGGACGCAGGGGCAAGTTGATGGAAAAGTTGTGAGCTACCATGGCACAGGTTGGTACAGGCCAGTTGGGAACAGCTCGCCAGTTGGAGGCGAGCAGGCATGCACGTGTCGGTGGTGCCCATGAGGAATCCTTGCAATCTTTACATGCCTTGAGGAATTACTGTAAGTTGTAAGTGCTAATGATTTCCTTGCTGGATGTCGTGATACTGAATGTTGCTCTGAGAACTAGATGAAAATCTGTTTCACTGAGAAAAAACTCTTTTGACCTGGTAATTTGGGGGGGGTGGGGAATTCTATCACTGTGTACATGTGAGTTTCCTAAAGCAAACTTGGAATTTTTAAAATTTTTTTTAACTGATTTCTTCATACTACCAGGCAGCCCCTTGCTGAAATTTAGCAATATTATGGTAGGACAGGAGTCATTGCTCTGACTGAAGGAGGGGTTTGCCAGAAGCTGTTCCAGTAGGCATAGAGCTACATTCCCAAAGAGGGACAAAAGGCAGGGGCTCTGCTAGTGTCAAGCCCCATATAATTGCAGGTGCACTGTGGCACTAACCGACTAGAAGTTTTGCAGTAAGTTTAAAATTTTCTTGCAGCAGCATTTACAATTTCCACTGCAAATAATATGTCAATAATTAATTAACTATGGCCTGTAAGCAGTTAACACTATATGGGTGTTTCCTTTTCCCTCAATATATATAGGAATTCCAGAAATCTCTTGGTGCCAAACATTCTGTGTATGATACCACAAATAGGACTGGACGCTCCTTGAAAGAGAAAACCACCTTGGCTGATGACAATTTGAAACTTGATGATATGCTAAGTGAACTAAGGGATAAGTGGGATACAATTTGTGGAAAATCAGTGGAAAGGTAATGAAAACCAATCTAATTATTCAGCAGATAAGAAAAAGACTTAAGAGAATTGTTTTGGCTTCTGTTGTGTAAAAGTAAAACTGGAGTGGCTAGCTTCTTTGATAATTAAGAGTGCCAAAGCAGTAAAATACTAGAATACTTACTTTCCTGATGGTATGGAAGAGGACTGGGAGGAGTGGGGGTGGTCCCACTATTTAAAAAAGGGAAACACTGATTGAAAGCTCTTAGTTGTTATCATTTTATGCTGAAAATATTTTCTTGAAGTATATGAATGATTATTTTTTTTGTTTGTGTGTGTTCGTTTCCACACACACACACACCCCCCACCCCAGACAAAATAAACTGGAGGAAGCCCTGTTATTTTCGGGACAATTTACTGATGCTCTGCAAGCTCTCATTGACTGGTTATACAAAATTGAACCTCAGCTAGCGGAAGATCAGCCAGTACATGGAGACATTGATTTAGTGATGAACCTGATCGACAATCACAAGGTAATTCCAAAAATATTCTTTTTTAATTACTAGACTACTCATAAGTGTAGCATTTTAATGCTATCTTTATTTGGCTGTTCTGTAATTTTTAGAAACATGGAATAGTTTTTTAACACAAATGTGTCATCAACAAATGCTGTAAAACATACATGGAAGATAACAACTGTTAGTGACTCATTGACATGAGTTAGCATTGAGATAATTCCATGTAATGCTGCTATCCTGCGTATTTATGAATACTGTGTCAAAAATCACAAGTGTGCCTTTATAAATATGTATGTGGGGGCAAGAGATGGCAAAAATTGTTTTACTGGAAATCTTTGGGGGAGACAAGGCTTTTTATTTAGTACGTCTGCTAACCAAACGTCCAGTGTACTCATCATGACTACAGCAGTCTTTCAAACCTGCAGAGCTGCTGTATATTCATGGAGAGAAGTAGTCGCAATGGTTAAGTTGTGCACAGGAGTATACAACTAGACTATGGCCCAGGAAGCCTGCATTGGCAAGTTGCAGTGTTTTTGGCGATGCAGGACTGTGCCTCTGAATCCCAGTTTTGCAATTCAGTATGTTGGAGGAAATGGCTGTTGAAGTTACTGGTACTGCAAAGGCTATGCACATTCAGAGCTCTGGAGCCTGGGAGGATTACAAGGCGAAGGTCCCTGTGTTCATCTACCAGTGACTTCCAATGTCCAAAGACTGTTCAGTGAGGAGGAGATTTTGTTCCTCATGAAAAAAGTATTTGGAAATGTGGGTTGTCTATAAAAATTAGCCTGAAATATGCTGGAATTGCTTCTGAAATCCAATTGTATATCACAGCGAAGTCATAGTCAGTGGCATGGTGTACTGTAATTGTTGTATCTTCTTTTAAGAGCTTGCTTTATGTAACTGGAGCTTGCTCCATCTGCAAATGTGAACATATTCTCACACAAATACGTGAATATGTGGTGAGATCTACAGCTTTATAATCAGACCCCAGATGGAGATTTAGTTCTATTTTTATGATTTTAAACTTTCTCCTTGATTGTTAGCATTTTATCTGATCTTTTCCTGCCGTGGCAATCTTGCACATTGATCAAGTGTGTCAGATCAATTGCTTTGATAAAAGAGTGTAAAGCCAGCATGGCGATGAGGCTGGATTTCCCATGCATTGCATCAGGATGAGTTCTCAGGATCTGCCTGACACTTTCCTACCATATCCTATCCTACTAGGATAGGATGGCGTGTAAATTATCTTCATATGGAATCTAATGAGCAGAACTTCTGTGTTTTGAGTCAGTTTGGAGTTATTCTTGATTGAACTAAATCCGTATTTTGATTTCTTCTTATAACCAATAATTTTTTGTTTCTCTTTACATAACTATGCCTTAATGAATTAAACATATCAAATGTATTTGGTGGTGCCTAGGTTTTCCAGAAGGAGCTGGGAAAAAGAACGAGCAGTGTCCAGGCTCTGAAGCGCTCTGCCAGAGAGCTGATAGAAGGCAGTCGTGATGACTCTTCCTGGGTCAAAGTCCAAATGCAGGAACTAAGCACTCGCTGGGAGACAGTTTGTGCCCTGTCAGTATCTAAGCAAACACGACTGGAACAGGCCCTTCGGCAGGTAGAGAAGTATTAATGGTGCTGTATGTACTTTATGAGAAGCAGAGAAAATTAACAGTCTAGTTGCCAAAAATTTAATTTCATTTTCACTTCATGTTATTTAATTTCATTTGAAAATATTCATTTTCTTGCTCACACATTGCTTACCTTGTCTCCATCCCTTTACCACAGCACATGAAAATGCCTCTTAACATTTATTATTGCTGTTGTTACTAGTCTATACCACAAATGCAAAACAAATGTTTCAAAGACCTTACCATCTAAGGAAATCACTGAAGTTTCAGTCAAGCGTGAAGGGTGATTAAGAACTATGCCCCCCTTCACAGGAAGCTGGAGATGGCAATCATATTTATGCCCTTTGTGCCTTATTGGAAAGAAGTAAATTTGTGTACTGAAAACTTGTTTACATTGGCACAATTACAGTGCATGGTGAAGTACATTGCAGAAAAAATGGCGTTGTGCTGAGTGCACTCAGGAGCTAGAACAGTGTATGTATGTCAGTATTGGCTGGTACCGATCCCAAACAAATAGGTCCATCTGTATTGTTTCCAAACCGGACATAACGTGGATGTACAGCTCTGTGAAGATATATAGTAGCTTGAGTTCATGCTAGGATGGGGCTCCTGCAATAGTGATGTATCCACTGTGTGCACAATTCCTGCCCTGCGTTTCCCAGGGTACTATGTTTGTCCAGCTCTTTGGTCTCTCAGCAGGCACAATCCTGAGCTACGTCAAACACTAATTGTGTCTGAATATGGCTGTGCCCAAAGGTGGAACTTTCTTGTTTTCTCCAGACATAAAAGGGTCAGTCACCAATGGGCTGTCAATTAATTTTGCTTAACCAGTGATTTAGGCTGTGCAGAAAATATAGTTCTCATCTCTCCAGCTGGTCCATGAAAGTACCTCCCGTGTAATTTGTCAGCGTAAAGGTGTGACATTCTCAACTGAGCTGCAAGTACATTATAAATCAGATGGCTAAAAGCATGAACAGGCTTTTAGACTTCCTATAATTTTTTGGGAAACATGAGATATTTTTACAGTTATGAAAATGTAATACTGTGTATCATTGACTTTTTAATGGAAAGTTAATGTGCCAGTACTGCTGCATGATTAATGATTCCAAATGTGGACTCAGTCTCCTTGTGTAAGCTGCAGTGTGTCTGTCAGATCCCCTCATGAGTGACTGTGACTACTTCTTGTATGTTAACAGGCAGAAGAATTCCACTCTGTTGTCCATGTACTTTTGGAGTGGCTGGCAGAGGCAGAGCAGGCTCTTCGTTTCCATGGGGTCCTTCCAGATGATGAAGAGGCCTTGCGTACACTGATAGACCAGCACAGGGTAAGCAAGAAAATGAAGAGGGTTCTCTTCATTCTAATAGGTCTGTTAGAGGGTAGAATAAAGAAAAGGAGGCAAAGTCTATTCCATATAGTCATATCAAGCATTCTATGTTTATTTTTGCAACTGTTTCTATAGAGAAGCTAGAAATTTAATGGTGTTGACAGTTTGGTGGCTGTACTGGTGTCGGGCTGTTCTTTGAGTCATCTTGGCTTACTAAGAAAATAATAAGCCTTTAGAAAGTTGCTGTAAACATTTAGAGACAGATGCAACCCCCCCTGTAGAATATATGCTGCCTGACAATTATAACACAAACTGCCGCAGTAGCAAAAGAGTATCTGTCAGCGCCATTGAGCAAAACAGCATATACTAGCATATATTCGTAAATGTCAGCCGAATTATGTTATCATCCATTAACCTTCTGTCCTGGTGAAACAGGGTGCTGTCATACTTCACATGCATTAGGTATTGAAATATTTCAGTGCCATAGGTACTGCAGGTACTAGATTATAGGCCATTAAACTAACTTTGTAGTAGTGATATGGGAAAATGGCTAAGTAAGGAGCATAGAGGTCATACTTTCACTCTCCAAACAGGAGGCTATAAACGCACATTCAAGCCCACGCAAAACTCTTCTTGTAAGTGCAGTAGTAATAGTACCAAGAATGAAGTGCCCACAATGTGGGTAAATTGAAGAGTACAAGAGTACAAGTACATTCAAGAACAAATTATAAGAGTGATGGATTTGTTCATCGTTGCTCTGAAGACAGTTATGAAATGGAGAGTGGAAAAGCATCCTGTTTAAATTGAGTTTGGGAATATTATTACATAGAGGAGTGTGTGCAGGCTATGACTATCTAATGGTTCTTAACTAAGGAGTTTTCAGAGTACTCAGACTGCAATGTTTTGAGGAAGTTTTCAGATTTAATTTAGGGTCCCGGAAACTGGGTGCTGTTTTTTAGCTGGCAAATGTATGTATGCATCAGGATATGCTCACTAATGTTGGCAGTAGCAACCTGCTGTCTCCAGTGCAATGAAGTTTGTCTTTTAGCTGCCTTTCCTCCACTTGTGCTTCATCAGTTCCTTTTTATTTAATTTTTTTGAATACAGAGGAAAGAACTGTCTCAATGAAATCTTAGATCCACCGAAATCATTGGAAAAAAAAATTTTACATTTCTTCCTCTGCAGTGTGGGTTGATGAATGAAATATTTCTGTACAAAAGCTCAAAATTGCACTGCCAAAGCTGAAGCATAACTCGGAACCTCAAACCAAAGCAAAGTTTGCCTCTGAGAAACCCTGTCCAGCTGAGGAGAATAATTGCTAGCAGAACACAACCAACCTCAGTGTTAGATATGGCCATACTATATTTAAATTTTTTTAGTAGGCTTTAGAAGATATTCTCCCACGCACATTTTCTTCTTAAAGGCCAAATAATAGAAACATGAAAATTGTCAAGCCTAGAAAGATTGTGGCTGCTTTACCACTCAATAAGCACGTACAGCAAAATCTTCCTTGAATGAATAGTCTCTCCTCTTAAGCTTATAACATTAGCTTTCAAGAAACAAACAAAAAAAAGAAAATAAGAGGAAACGTGATATATGGTACTAGTTTTAAACACCATGTCTGTATTATAATGCTGCAATATTAATATCAAAAAACATATGACTCATGACATTAATTACATAAATATGAAACGTATCTTCCTTCTAACACTGTGGTTCTTGTAAAATAGTTTTAATGCATTTATGTCCAGCTACATGTTGAAAGCTTTCTTCAGGATGATCTTTTATCCAAATGGTCCATCTTTATGCCCATTACTGATTTTCTTTTCTTGAATACTGCCCATGATTTAATGAATTCTACTATCTCAGGCAGAGAGGTTTCTGTCACTCGCCATCCTCTCTAGGGACTGAGAGGTGTGGTAGGTTAATGCACTGCATTAGTTAATGAGAAGCATCCCATCTCCTCTCTTGTAAATGTGTCTGTGTCACTGGACTGCCACAGAGTTCAATGCAATTAGTATCCCTTACTGAGGGAGAGCTTAATACACTGTATGTAGTGAGTCATAGATTGAGATTTTTAGATCTTCTAGTACAGTTGTGCAGGGAAGACAATGTTATTGTTGCCTGTTTTCCTCCCTGCCCTGGCTTATTTTGGTAATCTCTCGCTACAACCCACCTCAACTTTTCCAAAACCATTTTGAACTGAATAATTATAAGAACTCATGTGTTTTTGTAAGGGGAGAACTGCTATTGTGATTGGGTCTTAAACTTTGACATTAATTTAAGCTTAAGTCAAAATCATTTAGTAACGAATCTCTTTACATATACAGCCTACCTTTTTCAGGCTTTTAGAACAAGGTTGAAGAGATTATTTTTTTTACACCTTAATTTCACAATAGCTTCATATTTACTTTCTAAAGGCACAGCATAATGTCATTATGAGTTGTAGAATCTGTTTTTACGATGTTTAGGTGATTTTGAATTTTCTAGGATCTGACTTGGCCGATCTTTAATTTCTGATATCCAAAATAGCCCTTTGTGGGTGGAGAGAGGAAGAGTTAAACTTTCAGAGATATGGTTCCATTTTGGAGCCCAATTAGAGATGTTAAAATATAACAAAAAATTCCACTAGGCACTGAGAGTTGTTGGCAGTTCCGGTTAAGGGTGCTCACAAAGACGCACAGACTTAAACAACATTTAAACATAACAAAATAGGCAGAATAGTAAAACCATTGTAGTAATAATAATTCTTTTTAAAAAAAAAAAGAAATGCAAACTAAAGAAACAATGGGAAAAGTCCTTCATTTTTTTTGTTATTCTGGTCCTGCCACCCTTTCCTCTGCCAGACTCCCTAGGAACATCAGTGGCTACGAGCTTGGATGTCTAAAGCTGTAAACATCCTTTTGCTTTTGCAAGATTTTTTTCCCACATGGCAGCACCTCTGAAAACAGCTGGTTAATCAGCAATGTCTGTCCCTGTTCTTGCTGTGTCTCTCCCCCTCAGCTGCTGAGTTTTCACGTTTGTGTTAGTTTAGTACAGCTGCTTCTGAAGTCCTCTATCACCTTATCTGAGCATGTTGTTATCATTGGACATTTCCAGCCTCTGCTAGGAGCTTGATAGTTTATTATGAAGAATAACTGTAACTGACAGACAGACAGTCATCTGAAATGTTACCAATAATGATTCTAACCATCATATAGTTGATTTACAGCACTTATAAAATGCTGTGATTTTTCTTCTTTTTTTTTAATAAGGGCATGTGTCTTTCAAGTATTTAGAGTATTGTAGGCTTTTAAGGAGTGGCAAGCTGTGGTAAAGATTTTAGAGCTTCATTTGGTACTTTATGTGGAGTAGGCTTTTTAAACATTTTTAACTTTTCTCAGACAAATTAAACTTGCCTCTTGCAAGTTAAATCTGTTTGAGCAATCAAGAGTCTCATGACCTTCCAGACTATGCACTCAGATTTCTCTTGCAAATTTTGTCAACATCTAATTGAAATTGATACCCCTGGTTTAGGAATTTATGAAGAAACTGGAAGAGAAAAAGGCAGAACTGAATAAAGCAACAGGTATGGGAGAAGCTATCCTAGCTATCTGCCACCCAGACTCCATCACCACCATTAAGCACTGGATAACAATCATCAGAGCCAGGTTTGAAGAGGTCAGTATATGTCACCCATCTTCACTGCAACAGTCCGTCTTTGATTGGAACATAGGTGACAACTAACATGGTAGTTACACTGGGAGGAAATGATCCAGCTCTTGAGAACTAAACATTTAAAATACCCGCAGTGATGGATGTGAATACCATGCTTCCTTAGATTTTATTTTAAGACTTACAGGGCTTTAAGAACTAAAGCAGATGGTCAAGCTTCTTTGTTTGTATGTATTAAAGGAAATACTGCCTGTTACTTCCCATGTGAAGAAAGCCAACAGTTTCTAGGGGGAAACTGAAAAGTTGCAAAGGAAAGAAAATACAGGACAAACTTGAAGCGTTTTCTAATTGCATTAGGGAGGATTTCAGTCTAACATATTCCTGGTCTAGAAGATTTCCAAATGATTTAAGTGCCTACAAGTAAGTTTCAGAGGGTGTACCACACTCTCAGCTGCTAAGTTGGTATTTTCTGTGTATATTAAGTTCAGGGAAAAATGAAATACTGACGTTAGTAAAGTATGGCTTCAGGAGTGCCCAGGAGGAAGACGGACACCAAATCCTGCATCATTCACTAACTTATACGTATTATCTGATGAAGTTCTTAATATGTTGCCTGAATATACTATTTACTGCATTTAAGAGCACCTAATCCTGAGTATCTGTGGAAAAATATGTAGTGTTGAACTGGGGATTCTAGTTACCTAGCACCTTTAGTGATCAGCCACTACATCTAGCACCTTTGATAATCAGACATCAATAGGCCTGGGAGGAAGCTCTGAGTTTACAGTTAGCAATGCAATTTTAAATACATTTCAAAGAATTTCAGATGTGCACATACTCATGCATTGGTTCTTTTAATAAGGTCTTAGCATGGGCTAAACAACATCAACAGAGACTGGCAGGAGCTCTGGCTGGACTTATTGCTAACCAGGAATTGCTGGAAGCCTTGCTGTCCTGGTTGCAGTGGGCAGAGACTACACTCACTGAAAAAGATAAAGAGGTTATACCCCAGGAGATTGAGGAAGTTAAAGCACTTATAGCTGAACATCAGGTAAGGCATGTTAAGTGACACGTGTCCCACACGTTCCACAAATGGTCCTCACATCTCAGCTAGGCTTCGTGATCAAGTGTGAATCTCCTTAGCTATTTTCTCTCCTAATAATTGAATCCCTTTTCAGATACTCAGTTGTGTGTTTTGTATGTGTACAATGTGCTTGTAGTTTATTCAACACAGAGGTTAAGAAAACAACCAAACAAAAATTCAGTGCCGTGTTGTTCTAAAAGCAAACCTATAACTCCCCATAGGAACAAGGATAATAATAATAATTTAAAAAAACCTACATGAAATATATGATAGTGCTACTGCCTTAGAACTAGTGTTACACTGTGGCTTTACTGATTGGATTTCAAAAATATGTTGATGAAGTGCCAGAGGGAGCTGCTGGTGCAGTGAATGCTCATAGACTTACCCCAGCTTACACACCAGTTCGCTTCTGTGAACTGCAGTCTGGAGAGCGAGGAACACCTGAGTACTGAGAGTCAAAATTCTGTTGTACGTCACCTGACCATACACAGTTAATAAAGGAGTTTGACAGACTGGTTTTTAGATTTACCCTTCCTTTAACAGCCAGGCCATAGCGGTCTTAAAAGCTTATACTGCTGCTTTTTCTTACCTACAAAACCTTGCATCTTTTTTGTGAGGCTGGCATTATAAGATTTTCTGTGCCATTCTTGTAACTTTGGTGTTTTGCTATTGTATGTGTTTTCCATTCCTGTGGTCACTTTTGTGTATTGTTTATTAAAACTACCTCTATCTGATTGCAGACGTTCATGGAGGAAATGACCAGAAAACAACCTGATGTGGATAAAGTTACAAAGACCTATAAAAGAAAGGCACTTGAACCCACTCCAGTACAATCTCATATTCCTGTCCTTGATAAGGGGAGAGCAGGAAGTAAGTAATGAAAAATTTTGGGGCAGGTCACACACATCATGGCCCTATCTATAAAAATAACAGATTACTAATTATCTAATGGGTTTGATTAGCTTCTAGTGAAACGGTGTGAAATTCTCTTGGCTCATTTTTCTAATTATCTCTCATTTTTCATTGTGAGGGAATTTCTCATAGCAGACTTGTGGTTTTAAATTTGGTCCTGTACTTCTTGAATACCTGTTTTTAAAGCCTGCAGCCTTTCATGTGCTATTAAACTTCCAATAGTGTGCATGTGCTGAGTCTTTGCGAATTTACTGTTATCTGAAAGTTCAAACAACTTCTTTTACATAAAAATGTAGAGACAAAATTTTACTCTTACTGTCTATGACATCATATGGATCCAATTAGAAAGTGTATTCAGTTAAATGGAAAGTGAATCATCAAGTGAAGAAATTGCTTTTTGTATTTTCAGATATACTTACCCATTGTATTTTATACTTACCCATGCATGGAACCTGCTTCTAAAATCAGATTTTTTTTTACTTTGCAACTGTCTGCAAGATTTGCAAAGACTTCATTTAACCTGTGCAGCTTCACTAGTGCAGCCGCTACTAGCTGCTGCTGGCTAGACAAAAGATACTTTAACCACCATGTGGTCCTTCCCCAACAATGGGGGGGGGTTGGAAAGTCCCGTTAGATGGACCCGTATCAGGGTATGAGCTTGTTATTTGGGACAGGAAGGAGTGGTTTTAGGAAGGTCAAGTACCCTTCATGTGAATGTTTCTTTTGTTCAAACTGAGTGAGACTTAACATTTTATCATGTTTTAACAGGAAAGCGTTCCCCAACACCAGGCATATATCCGTCAGCAGCCCAGGCACAAATTGAAACCAAGAATCCACGGGTAAACCTTTTAGTCAGCAAATGGCAGCAAGTCTGGCTTCTGGCCTTGGAAAGAAGAAGAAAACTTAATGATGCTTTGGACAGACTTGAAGAGGTCAGAAAAGGACTGTACAGAATATACATACTTTTTGCGTAGTTTTGTTTACCTTGGATTTAATTGTCAATACTGTAAATACTGTAAACAACTTCCATATTTGTTGTATTACGTTGTATGATACAGCTAGCTGAAAACACTGTAATACATGTGCTTTAAAAGCTGTCATTCTCATTTTAAATGTGAGAAAAGTTAAGATGTTTAAAATGTTTATACAGGTCCTGAAAGAACCAGTTATTCAAAAGAACTGAGATGGTATCTCTCTCATTGATTTTCTAGATTGATTGATTTCAACTGAAAAAAGTTCTTTCTGTTTTTTTTATTAAGCTGAGAGAATTTGCCAACTTTGATTTTGATATTTGGAGGAAAAAATACATGCGATGGATGAACCATAAGAAGTCTCGTGTGATGGACTTCTTTAGGAGGATTGATAAAGATCAGGATGGAAAGATAACAAGGCAGGAATTTATCGATGGAATTCTTTCATCAAGTAAGTTTTAAAATTAACTTAATGTAGAACTTGGAATGAACATTTCATGAGGTCTTATTGTGTATATAGTGTACCCTATGAGGTTTATTGTGTTAGATGACAGATTTCCCTTTTGAAGTCATTAATTATGATTAATTTAAACTAATTATTTTACTTGAAAATATTTCTAGATTCTAGAAACTCTTTCTAGTTCTTTTACATTGTGAATCAGATTACAAATGCCACATTTATATTATTGGTTAATTAATAGTTTACTGGACTCGGATAGTCGTTCCTACAGTACACTGGCCACTTCAACAATTACTTTTCATTGTTTAGTCAGAATAGTAGAATGAACGTTATAAAACCTACACATAATTTTCAAAATCAGTTCATATGATCATAGAATTTTTATTGAACTTACATGGAATAGTTTCAATTATATAAGGAAACAGTGTAATTTCTGAACCCAGTGTTTCCATGAAGCATGACCATGTTGATATAGAGGATCAAAATGTCAAGCAATCAGACTAGGAAGGGACTTTTCCTAGCTTTCTTGATGGATTGGTATTCCTTAGATGTGCACAGTTGGTGGTAACGTAAGCCTTCCACATCATGTCTGTCTGTGATCACGTTTCCCTTTAGCAACTGACTCATAACAGATAAGGGCCTACTACTTAAATTAATCCTATATCTTCACATCATAGAGACTTTTGCTTTGAGCAGTGAAGATTCAGAATTGGGCTGCTTTTAGCATCTCATGTTAAAGTTATTCAGTAGGAGAATATTGTAGTGTATGTGTTTTCCCCCTGCTTTAGGAAATGCAGTAATACAGTCACTATATGTGCACATCGTTGTTTTGCATGAAATGGCAGAAGTTGATGAAAAAAATTCCTGATACTACCAAGAGGTTAAACAGCTTATTCGTTTAACTCATTTGGTATCAACTTGTTATAACTGTTAAATACTCATGATTTAATCCCTGTTCACCATCTTGAAATTTTCTTTGACCATTTCGTAGAGAATCTCTCTGTGGGTTAATATTCTGCTGCTGTGAACTTGATCTGCAGAAGGATTTCACGTAACACCTTGCATGATTCTGCAGTACGAAGGCCTTGCATTCCTAATTTAATTAGCAGTGAAATTTTTGCTTGACCTTTTCTCACTAACAATTTATCTTGTTAATCTGTCTTATTTTATGGACTTTGAAGGTCAAAATGTTGAGGAAAAAAAAAAAACCCAAACATGTATCTTACAGTTTAATCTATGCCCTCACTTCTGTGTATCTCTTCAAGCCACACTATGATGCTCATTTTAATCCAATACCTAGGTAACACTGGAGATCCAGATTGTTGGGGTTTTGATGTGGTTTTGTTTTTTTTTCAGAAAGATTCCTTCACTCTTTTGGATATCCTTGGTTTTTTGTTAAGCATTGTCTGTCACCTAGTGCCTAAAAACCTTTTAATATTTGTGATAAAGCCTTTCATTGTAATGGGATTGAAAAGCTAAAAAACTTAGCTTTTGTTGTTGTCTTTATCTTACAGAATTTCCAACAAGCAGACTTGAAATGAGTGCTGTTGCAGACATTTTTGATAGAGATGGTGATGGATATATTGACTATTATGAATTTGTAGCAGCTCTTCATCCAAACAAGGATGCATATAAGCCTCTCACAGATGCTGACAAAATTGAAGATGAGGTACATTCTCTGCTTTCTTAGATTGCACTCTATTCTACTGGGGTCATGTCCTTTAATAATTAATTTTATTTTCACTCCTATATAACTTGAAGTTAACCAGTTACACAAATATTTAGAAATGTGATATTAGCAGTAGAGTAATCATCCAGTTGTGGTTTTTTGCAGGTTACAAGACAGGTAGCTAAATGTAAATGTGCAAAACGATTTCAAGTGGAACAGATTGGGGATAACAAGTACAGGGTAAGTCTTCGAAAGACTTTCTTAGTTCTTTGGGCTTAAAGATTATTCGTATGACATGGTTATGCAAGGAATTACACTGTATTAATTTACAGGAATTTTGTATGACAATTATGTGTTTTCTTTAAGCTTGTGTAAATTTTGTGGGTTTTTTCCTTGTTAGAACATATATGCTAAAAATCTCGGGAAATACTGCTGCTTGTATTTATTTTTGCTGAAACTAATGAAGCTGTTTTCAATGTATGGGAATTTTTAAAAGCTAACTGCATGCATACATACATAAAACAGCTCCTTAAAAGCCAGTCTTTTCTGCCTGGATACCCAAAGTGTTTAAACTGTTGCTGATTTTCTATCAGTTTCATAAAAACAGTGATTTCCCCCCCTCCCCGTGTTGTACTTTTTACCAAAGTGTATTCAACCACTTTTATCCTCCGTAGTCATTTTATTGGAGCACAGTATTCCTTCTGAAGAAATAAAAGAAATGTGTTAGATATCTGCAGAATGATTTTAGATCACAGAAAAATAAATATCACATTGTAGAGAAAGATCTGCTACCCCTAGGTTCAATAACTAGAACAATTTCAGATGAAATATGCAATATTTGGCTAAGACTTTACTAAATACTTGTAAATGATTTTAAAAGACCACAGAAACAGCAATGGGAAGGAAACAAAGGCCCTGAATATTTTCCAGTATTCAGTCTCCAAATGGCTAGCTACCTGCTTGTCTCTGAAGAAGAGACTTTATTTAGAATGTCTAACGTGTTAGTTTGCATGTGTTCTACAGTCATTTAGAGAATTTTTTGTAAACTAATTGTGTCTTTCTTCCATTTTTCATTTCTTATCAGTTCTTCCTGGGAAATCAGGTATAAACCAGTGGAATGTGTTATGAAGTTTCTTTTTTTCTTTTTTTTCTTTTTTTTCTTCTCTTTTTTTCTAATTCATAGTGATTTAAGCTTGCAATGGTCAGTCTTCTCACTGTCCTTTCATCTTCAGCTAATTCATTGCTGGTCAGCTGTGGTATTTCTTTAAATGCTATGGAGCATTCCTTGTCTCAGGATCCCTCCTCTTCAGTCCCTCACCTGCTTTCTTTGGCAATTTTCCTCATTAAGGAGATTACTTTTAAAGGAACCAGATAATTGTCAGCAGCAATTCCCAAAGTAAAAAATCTTGAGCATTTAAATTGCAATTTTAGAATTACTATTATTTTATCAGTTTTCAGTTTTATAGTGGAATGCTTAAAAATTCTATGTTATATTTTTTAGGCTATCATATTAAAGGCTAATCACAGTAAAAACAGATCCCAGTGTTGTATCACTTATTTATTGCAAATTAGTCAAAACATACTTTCATTTTCAGAAGAAAAAATCCCTGTGCAATCAAGCTAACTGATTAAGAACCTAGGTGATTGTTGGTATTTTATATACTAATGCAGTGAATCATTAAATACATGTTTTAGAAACAGGCAAATTAAACTTGCCATTCCAGTTTAGACTATTCCCTCTCCCAAAGTGTTTTCAAAGAGTTATGGCAGGTGTATAATGTAGTGGAGCTGTGTTTAAGAATACTTTTTGTCAGTTGAGTCATCAGTTAGTCATACTGCAGTGGCACTGTACAGTGGTACAGGGAGGATGCACTAACCAGTGCTCGCTTAGTCCTATGGTACATACTGATAGACAGCTTCTTAAATTGTTAAACCATGCTTGCCTGGTTAGAATGGAAATACTTTACACAAAGCAGATACCACTAGTATCTTACTCATGCTCTTATCAAGGCAATAATACGTATAATCCATTCTGGAAATGCTAGCGTTAACAGCATTAGCCATTTTAAAGCTAGAGATGTTGAAAATGTAGTTGCATTTTTATTTACTGGCAAACCCTGTTGAAGTATAGAAGAAAGCACAAAGAGCAGTGGATAATCTTACCACATGCCTCAAGCAATATATCTAAGTAATAATTTAAAGTGTTTTCCACATACAGAACAAGACTATTTGAAATTATGTTAATCCTCTTATGTGCCATCTGTACTCTCAGATCTGGGAAAAAGGCAGCATTTTTTGAGAGCGTCTAACTCTTACTGGTACAGAACAGCATCATAGTAAAAAGCACCTACAGCAAGTTAGCTGAGGCTTCTCTAGTGACAGTGACATTATATGGCTGTTGTCAAGAACAAGCCATTTTGTAGCTTAAACTTCCTTTACATTTTTACCCCATTTTTTTTTACCTCTGATTATTTGAAACAATGGCAAACACTGTTCAAGGAAAGCTAGTATCCAGGCTATTTTAAGGAGGAAACGAACTGAATTACCATTAGGAAAAATGGCTCAATTAGATACCTGTGTCATTTACCAGGAGCCCCACTCTGAATTAACCACAGCCTAGATAGGCAGTTTCCAAAGGATACTGTATCTGACCCTTGGTATAGTTACCTGATGGGGTCTAACTGAAGAATTAAACTGGGATGGGGAAAAAATAAAAAGAAAAAAGATAGTATCTTTAAAAAATCTAGAAAAAATTGTCTGTAGGAACAAGCCAATGAAAATAAACTGCGTCCATTTGGATGCTGGGTTTTTTTAACTTTGATCTATGTATATAAAACGGTTCTTTGTTCAGCACATATTGAGTGCATTATTAAAAAGCCCTTACAAGTAATGTTCATGTGAATGTTCTTATTTGTAACAGCAAAAAAAAATACGTATTCTTGAGTTAAGCGGCAAGCTTTGCTTTTGTTTGGTTCCTAAAAGTAATATTCCTTTAAACTTCTCTTTCCTTGGCTTCAGTAGTACCAAACAACTAAAGTTATTTAACAAGTAGGGAGCACGTTTGTGTGGTTTGCATTTAAAGCATTTCAGTCCCCTCACTGGAGCAAGTAGGTACAGTTGAACTACGGCCAGCCTTCTCCAAGGGTCAAAGATTGTCCCAGAGAGGTGTATTTGACTCCCATTGGTTTCAGTGAGTGCTCTGCATGTCTGCGTGAGAGCGTACTGCACTTGGCCTGATGATCTGATATCAAAATATTTTTTTTAGTGGCATTGCCTAAAAAGTAAAGTACTGAATTATTCTGGTTTAGTTTTCGTGAGATTGTGGGGTCAACATTTTGGTCATGTTTTCTTCGATCCAGATTTGAATGGAGAAATTTCATTCAGGTTTTGCTATACAGGTTTCAAGAGCAAAACATACGTTAGGCCTGGCCATCAGCCCAAAGGAAGAATGGGCTAGTACAAGAGTTAGTATGAGACAGGTTTTTGTGCATCTCTGAATTGTGAAGAATCTCAATGTGTAGACAGAGAAGTGACAAACAGTTTATAACAAAGGACAATAATGATAGCTATCAATCATTCATTGCTTCTTTAATGTTCCCTTCCCCACATGCACCTCACTGATGGTGAGCAGTGTTAACGGTATACCTGAAAATATCCCTACAAATGAATCAATTTGTAGAACTGTGCAACACTAGTAATACATTGAGATGCTGCCTTCCTTTCAGCTGCTATCATTAAAATCTAGACTGTTGCAGAAGAGAGTTTGCTTAAGATTTTAACAATGAAATAATGCAAATAGGTCTTCATTAATTTGCGCAAACACAGATCGTAACCAATTAAATAATGTATTACTACTTTTGCTTCCTTTATGAACAGACGTTTGAGAATCAAGCATAAAATTAAACTGAGATTCTTCCTTACCATCTTGCCATATCCTTTGGATTAATGCAGCAGCATTCGATTTGAAATCTTAACAGCTTAAATAATCTGCATAAATAAATCTGATTTTTTTAGCATTTACTAATAATTAAATATCAAAACAAACTTTTTAAAGTGTCTGATTTTTAACCTGTCGGCATTGAACTACATCTGAATGACTGAGAACCTCAGACAGTTGCTTAATTTTTATTGCAGTTTGGTGACTCTCAACAACTGCGCCTTGTTCGTATCCTAAGAAGTACAGTCATGGTTCGTGTTGGAGGTGGCTGGATGGCACTCGATGAGTTCTTAGTGAAAAATGATCCTTGCAGGGGTATGTAACACAAATGTTAAAATGGACATGCAGATAATTATTTGGATACAGTCACCGTTCATTGTCTCAAGATGGAGATCAAATTGTATAAAATGCCAGTTCTGTAAACATCATCTCACTAAATGTCATGTAATGATATGTTTTTGTAAACTTTAAATCCCGTGGTTAAGATCCTCTTCAGTTGCACTCATGTATGTCTGGAATAACTGTGGTGTCTTCTGCGCAGTTCCTCCAGTGTTAGAGTGGTGTAATTAAGAATTGAACTTAGCCCAGTAGAGTTTACGGCATGTAAGCTGCTTGTATGACTTGGCAGAAGTAGCACACAGAAACGTCCAATGAAGCCTTCTCAGCAAGAGAGAAGTTTTAAGGCAATAAGTTAAAATAAGGCAATTGAATCAAAGAGTAACACCACCACCACAAAAAGCTTCTCTGGCCGATGGCTGCACTCAGGCTTTCAGGCTCTGCCTTTACAACCCTGTCTTTTCGTTGGCATCCTCCCCAGAACCACTTTGCAGAGCCCTGAGCCTTGTACAAAGCAAGTGGAAAATGCTCTGGTCAGGAGCACTGTGCTCTGGGGAAGGAGGGAGCACTTGATACACGTCCTGGAGGGCAAAGTGATAAAATGCATTGTTTTATCAGTACGCAACATAATCACATCTTAGTTTGTCAGAAAGCCACCTTCTCTAGTGTGAAAGTAGGCTCTGACTGGCACCATTCTTGGAGGAGCAGTTGGAGGTAGAAAAGAAGCCATTTGTGAAAGGAGTAGGAGAGATACAAGTCATGTAGTAGCCAGAGTAGTAAAATTGCAGAAAGTATAATAATAACTGTGTTCAGAGTGAGCTGACATCCTGTAACTAGGTAATTCTATCCTATTAACTAGCAGCATTAGATTTACTGCATGTTACCTCTCGGGGGTTCTGTAGAATCACAATCGATATTGCAACAGCACAAGAACAGCACAGAGGAAGGAGTTCAGGAGGAGCAAGTGAGCTCATGAAGACAGAGACATCAAATGTCCTGTAGACCTTACTCCAGTATCAGCTATCTCACAGAGCTTCTACTTTGGGACCAGGGTTTCTAAACAGTTTGATACATACCTTGAGAGGGTGGAGAGCTTGTATTTGTAGCAATTGTCATGCTAAGTCAAGGACATTAAATCCAAAAAGAGGCTACCACCAAACCCCGTAAGGGCTGACAGTGTGCCACTAAGGCCTAGAAACCTTTGTCTACAGGCTTAAAAAGTACCCATAAAACTTCTTATGACAGCTCTTTTATGATACTATGATAACCTTACGATGACATCTGTGAGTTTTTCAGCAGTATTAAAAATAGTCCTTTTGCTTACCAGCATATTGCATGTATTGTTTATTAAAGAAATGTAATAGTAATGTTACATTTATTGGTGTTGGACGACAGATCTAACTGAAATTTAGCACCTGATTCTGCAGCTGCTACTATAGGAAAGTCGTTTACGCCTGCAGAGCCATCCTTTCTTTATAGTTTTCTACTCCTATTCCTCAAAAGTGCAGGGTAGTGGAAAATGAGATGGGCCTCAAAATATCTGACTTTATTGAAGGGTTAACTTGGTTAGTTTTGATGTATCCCAAACATTTTCCTCAGGCTTATTGACAGGTGGACTGTTGCAATTCCTACTTGGATTCATGCTGAGAGATACAATACCTAATAACTATCTAATTAATTTATTGGAATTCCTTATTACTGTCCTTGAATTAAGAGTCCTTTGGAGCTTCATCCCCTCTTCTTTAATAAACTTTGTATTCTATGTATCTCTATAGAATTTTCTATAGTACTTTATCCCTTTTTCATGGAAATACATGAGCAGATGAGTAAGTCAACAGAGTGAGTCTAAAGGAGTACCAATCTCTCCAAAATCATCCAGACACTGGACCTAGTACATTGGTACCTAATCCTAGTCTTTTTGAAGTCAGTGATGCAGAGTAGTCATTAATGTCAGTGGTGCAGGATCATGCCTTTCCTTAAGCACTTCATCTAGCAAATCTGCATTTGCACCAAGGGCTTCTCGTGTATTCAGATAAATCATATTTCAAAGAACTGTTGTCTTAGGCAGCTTTAAAAGTATTGGACCTTGTTATATAAAATCATTTTAGCTTATATTACTTCTTTATGTCAGCAGATAAATACCATTATTACACAAGCATACTTGGGACTGCAGCTGAGTGTGTACAAGCACTATTTCCATTTTGCCTAGGAGACCTTTGAGAACTCACCTCAGAGCACATAGAGACAGCTTTTGCTCTGAGTCCTGTCTTTTGGCCTGGTACTCTGAGTCTCTTGCATATGCAGCTGCTGTACTTGATTTCTTCTCCTGCTAACGATTTTCTTTAATGTGACCCATGTCCTGTGTCATTTTTTCTAGTTCATCATCACGGGAGTAAAATGTTACGTTCGGAATCAAACTCTTCAATTACCACTCAGCCTACTATAGGTTGGCAAACCCCTCTCTTTGTCTCCTTCTCCTCCTCTTCTCTTCTTTCTTCATTTCCTTCCCTCTTTTTGAATATATATACTTTTAACAGTATGCTTCACCCATCACATTTAGCTTAATGTGTTCCTACATGGGCTGGTGCTTTGCAAGCTAATTTTTTTGACACGCTTGAGTGTTTCAAAAACAATTGTCATTCACACTGACATAGTTAAATGCTAACATGTCTTGCATCTATTCTTGAGGAACATTCTCTCATATATGTGTTTGTATGTGTGTGTGAGTGCTTAGCCACCAATTACCTCATCATAGTTTGGATTTTATGTTCATCATTGCATGTTGCCAAACTACATAACCTCATAGTTTTGAATAAATGTATTTGCTGCTTTCCTGTAATTTGTACTTAGCAATTTCTTCTGGAACATCCAAGCAAGTATTATTTATTATGAGTAGCTGTAGAGTTAGCAAAACTGCTCGTCAGGTTGTGTCTATGTATTAATAGTTGATTGATTAACAATGATTTAGCACGTTGAGCATTCATTATCATGCTGACTTCCTTTGACAGTGGTTCATTCCTGC